TTATATATATATATATATATATATACGTATCGTATATGCTTTCTGCCCTAGCGCAAAGTATTGAGCAAGCGACGTTCTTATTGAAGTTACTATTCTCAACTCTCTATAATTTATATATAATTGATTTAGGGAAAGTTATGATTAACTTTAAGGGAAGGTTTATTATTAGTGGGTTGTAAATAAGCAGATAAAATATACCTCACTTTAACCATTTGTTATTTAACCAAGGCAATTCTAAAGAAGGTAGATGTAATACTTACCTTCCAGAGCTTTTTTGGCCTTCTTTTGTGAGTTCGATAAACTACTTTCGAATACTTTATCATCTTTTATGGATGGAGATGGGAGCATGAAGTACCAGGGTAGAGGTTTCTTGGTTTTGTAACCTATAATTAAAATGGAATGATGCAAATAGGTATCTTTTTGAACGTATACAAAAGTTTTAAAATAAAATAAAATTGCGTAATAAGATAACTTTTGGAAAATGATATATGAATGTTTTGGCTTTGATTACGTAAACATGATCAATTGCAGGGCTGCCAACTTTCTACGCTTTTTGTAAAAAATTATTCTAGTGGTAGCTATGTATATGTTTTAATGTATTATTTTTTATTTAACCTTTTCGCACCGGACGGGACATGTGCTGTCCCAGTCTGGTAAATTTTTGATATTACGGCTGGGACAGCATATGTCCCAGTTACTAAAAAATATCTAGGACAGAAAATAACGCCCACTTTGATCTCCAAACAATTTTAAGGCCGTCTCATCGTTTTGAGTCCGTAAATTTCTCGTGTCAATCATTCCTGATATAATCAAGCAAGCGACAACTTTCTCCAGAGAGCGAATTAATATTTTCGAGTGGTAGTGAATTAATTCTAATTTTTGTTTTAATAAATTCAATTTATTAGGCTTTTAGCCACCACTATTTCTAAATAATTCGAAGGCTTATTTGAGGGCTCCTTCCTCTGTTGAAGAGTCGAAAGAGAATTTACCCCGATGACAAGTTGAGACAGCTCGCTTATATTATTGAATGTTCTGAAATTGAAAACAGAGTCCACATTCGAGGAAAGCAGCGAAGAGGAGACCGACAATGAAGTCGTTTCACCCAATAGCAATGATTTGGTTGATGATGAAGTTGAACTCCAGAACCAGAATCCCCCATCATTTTCATGGTCCCATCCAACTAACTTTGTACCACGAATGCCATTAGTTACTTACATCAAGGGTCAAACAAATCTCTCTATTGGCAACGAAGCCATCGAAGGGGATTTTTTCGTCAAGATCTTTCCTAAAAGCTTATTCATTTACATTGCCCAACGTATGAACGAAAGAACACTTGAAAATGCGAGCAAGGAAGTCAATAAACAAAAGCCCTCTTCCTCCAAAACTATATCATCATCATCAGCAGCAGCGAGACTTTTCAATGTTGGAAACCATTTCCACCATTTGAGGGAATAAACGCGCAGAAGATGTGCATGATGCGCAAAAATGAATAAAGAGGCACGCTTAGAAATAGTGTGCACCTCTTGCAACGTAGCACTGAGCAAGAACTGTTTCCAGCCCTACCATACCCTCAAGAAACCCAGACTTTAGATACTATTGTTCCTCTACCACTTTCAATTTTTTACCGTTCTTATTTTATAACTATTAATTTCGAAAAGTGTTTATAAATAAATATGTTAATAAAAAATGTTAACGCAAATGTACATGAAAATGTTAATAAAAAAACATTACCTAAAATAATCATCAAAAATTTAAGTAAAATGTCAATAAAAATGAGTTATTGACTCTAGAATTCTGCCGGGACATATCCTGTCCCGGGGTTTAGATGCTTTGGGCTTACGGTGGGACATATGCTGTCCCATCAATGAAGCTGGTGAAATCACTGTTATTGATGGTGCGCTGTTATGAGGACGTTTAAGTGTCTCCAAGACCTTCAACCTTTTAGGCATAAAAGTTATTTTACCTAATAATCGCTTGGAGGAAAAATAACTGATCCCGGCAATGGGGCGCACTTGGACTGATTTTTTGCCGTATTGAAAGGGTTAAACTTAATTTCCACGCCACTACACATAAATTATTTAAAAGTTCATGCGCAACGTCACTTTGTTCTGGTACTTTTGTAGTGAGGCCTTTAAAATTTTGGCAAAATTACAAAAATTCTGAAATGATGTGAATTTTTAAAAATCTACCACTCCATAAAATATTTTGCAAAAAGCGTAATAGTAATCAGGCCTGCATAGTATTGTTTAAATTATGTGCCTTTTTTGGAATGATTAAAGTATGAAATCATGTGAAAATCCTTCTGTTCTGTAAAAATAAATTTTATTAAAAAAAAAAGAATTATTGAATGCTTGTATAGCAATATTTGCCTTAAAGTTATAATAAAATTTTTTTATATACTTACTGAAGTTTATTTTCCCGACAGCTTGTATAAAACAACGAAAATAATTTTGATGCATAGAAGGCCATTAAATAAAATTCATCTTATTGAAATCTATTTATTTATTTTAACAGATATATTTTTAAACATTTATTTTGTATAATTGAGAAAACACATATAATGACAACTAAAAACTCACCCAATGAAATTCTTCCAACATACCATGCGATGAAGAAATATACGAGAGCACACAATGCCATTGCGACTAAGGTTGTTCCGAAATTCATTCTATCCTCAGCTTCTGGACTGAGCCACAGATTGGACCAGTGGATGCCTTGACCTTGGTCTTCATAGCGACTCAGGTAGAGACAACCAAAGCAGAAGGATGTTGAGACTAGAACACACTACAATGGACACAAATACGTATTTCATTTTACATATTCACTTACAACACAGATCTGTAAAATTTGTGTCATGAAAAAGTGAATGCGATGTGTTGATAGATTTTTATATTTTTTGGTGAGCTGATTTTATGTAAGGTATTGATTTAAATCTTTACTGTGATAACTAAAATTGTTTTCTGAAGAATAATGCTACGCTGATATCAATAGAACTTAGTGCTGAAAAGTTATCAAAGTTATTATGTATCAAAAGTACAGTTTTGTACTTAAATCTATTTACATATCTAACATCTGTATAAAGACAAGTGAGGTATTGTATATTTCTTATAATAAATTGAATTAAATAAATATTAAATATTTCAATGGAACTAATAGTTTCGAAGATATAAGAACTTTATGTGCAAACGAATATAAATCAAAAGCTCTAATTTTCACACACCAAACTAGCATTTTTTTAAAATTATAGGATTTTCGAACTATGAGACTCCAATCTTGTCAAGTTTAAACTAATTGCTATAGCAACTTTTCACATTTTATAGCCATCGTTGAGCAGCCGACCCTATGTTTGGGTTTACTACTACTAATGTTCAACTCCGTAGCCTTTGAATTTTGAACCCAATCCAGAAGACTAGGGAACTCCAGGATCAAGTATTGGGGCTTTCGTGGAGGAATTTTTGATGGAATTAACCCGCATTTGCGTTACAGGGAGAGGAAAACCACGAAAACCTCCCACGGTTAGCCTAACGGCAGGGGGACTCTAACCCATGATCCATCAACCACTAAGTATGTTTTACGTCAGTGCGAGCCGGGTGCGGAATTCATATCAACCAGAGGGAAAATTAAAGTGAGACCAAAACTAGTTTTGTTACATTAAACATCTACATATTGGTGCGATTTTAATTAATAAATACCTCTGAAAATTTCTTCATCATCCACTAAGCTCTTTTATTATGCAAGATAGTTTTTTTTAATGTTAATTTAAATGGCCAGGGTAGCATGGGTGAAAGGCGTTGAGACTATGTCCAAGAGATCATGAGTTCGATCTCCGAGTAAAAAACAAATTAGTGTCCAAAATTTTGACTGGTGCATGCTAAATCTGTCGGAGTCACAAAGTACTCCAAGTTCCCGTAACAAATCAGTACCTCTGTGGGTATTGGGTTGGAGACTGATCATGCTCTGATTCAGGTCAAAATTACGATCTGCGGATGGATGGTGCGTGAATGTGTCTACCCTTTAAAACGGGCTGTGACGTTTGTGAGTGACAGAAGTCGAATTCTTGGCTATAGATGGCGCCACAGGAAATTATGAAGAAGCGCACCCCTTTGCTTTAAAATAGACTTGTTAGCATTGACAATTAACATAATAAAACAACAAATTAATTTAAGTAGGTTTCGATAATGCTGAAAAATATAACTTATACTGCAACATACTTACCGACAACAATTTATGCCAATACAAGAAGTCCAATTCCCAAGTAACGAACAGAAGAAATGGAAAGAATGATAGAACGTATAAAAGAACTGAGAGCAGTGCAGCTGTGGATGCCCTCTTGAAGAATGTGCTCATCAATTGGCTGAAATAAAAAAACTTATAAGTTAGAAATAGAAAATCATATAGTTTTCAATACTATACTGCGATAGTAATTGCTTATATGAAATACTAAGCTGTTTGTTACCCGAAAAAAAGTTAAAAGTGTAGTAAAACCAGTTCATGTCTACCTTGTTTTCAGGAGGAGTTAACATTATCAATGCCCAGACACAGAAAGTGGTCTTTATATGAAAAACACATCAGTGAAAAAAGTTTCAGTGCATATTTATCTACATGCAGAGCATATTTCTTTCTGTTACCTACCACTTCAGCTTAGGAAAAGCGCTATACGATGACTGCAGATCGAATTTTTAATATAATTAGTTTGTTACGGCAGACAGAATTATCTTTTTTCTGCAAAATAAATCCTATAAATTAGACACTTATGCTGCCACTTTTATCTTCTTTGAAAAAAAGAAGCTGTCCTTTTAAAGGGACAATAAATACAAACGGGTTAAATACCCCTTACTATAAATATCTTTTATTAGTTTTATCATGCATAAAAGCTTATCTTCGAAAAAAATACATAGTCGAGTATTACTTAGCGCCGTCTGTTATTAGCTTCTCATATGATACTTCGAATTTTTGGCATGTAGTGGAGGAAAAATGACTTAAAATGAAAAATATTAAACTGAAAATAACTTAAATTGCGTTAAACTGTAATAATTTTTTATAAGCGGAGCAAGAATATCACTGATGTACTAACTGGAGTACATCATATCAGATTCAATATAAGAGTCATATCAGATCCAATGACTAAGGCTGGTACTGAGTAACAAGAGCAAAAATAAGTCTGAGGGAAAAAAAATAGCAATGTATAGTTTGTAATGGAAAATTGGAAAAGCTTCCACTTTATTTTTTAAGAAATTTCGAAATGAAATGGTTTTGATACCAGTTTCTGGGGTACAAACAGGCCAGTATATAATATTTAACATATCGAGAACCGGCTTATTAATTTTATTTATTAGTTACTTCCAGCATTACATTTCACATTGAGATTTTATTTCATGCGGAATGGTTTTTTAATCTACAACTTGAACAAAAGTACGTACTTATCTAAAATTTTCTTAAAAGAATTTTTAAAAAAAAAATAAACCTACATATTGTCTTGTGTTCCGTTCTCTAAGTGCACTTCGAGTCTTTTAAAACGCTGTTTGAACTGATTCAAGTACTAGATCATTTAAAATTACACAATACAGTATATTTTCATACGGCTTTTAAATGCCTTAAAATAATATGATTACTAATCATTCTCTATATTCAAATTTTTCTTCCCTCCTTGCCTACTAAAATATTTAAAGACGAATGATGAAAACGCTACTATATTCTGTTGCAAATTAAGAAAAAATCATTATTCCTATGGAGATAGCCTGTTTGCATCTACGCGAGAGAAAAACGGATGCCAAGCTCCAGGCTCAAATGTATATCAACATCGCCAACTCTTGAAACTATGTTGCACAGCCTTCTTTTTACTTGCTTTCCTAAATTGCGTGAAATGAGGAAAAAAAAACTTATTAACTAATATTTTGTTAATAAGAATTAATAAAAATGATATCTAAAAAAATTGTATTAAATATACTTATTTCTGTTCGCATTTAAAAAAAACTAATGAAAGAATAATAAACATTGTTTCTTGCAAACGATTTCTTCTACAGCGAAACAAAAGTTAAAATTCTTTATCTCACATTTGATTTGTTAAGTGCGTGTAAGTACAAGACGCGCCATTTTTAGTTGTCCAATCAAATCCAATGCTCTCGCTACGTCATATAGTTGTTTCTTTTTCAAGAATGAATGCTCTCTTTAATTATCGAAATCTGTCGCCAAGTCTAGGATTCCAGTAAGACTACGAAACTATAACCCTTTTTTTAATAATTCTATGATATGTATCGTAAGAGATAGAATTAATTAAATTTCAGTCCGACTAGTTAAACCTTTAAAAGCTTTTATATTGTTATGAAACCATATTTGTATAATTTGATATCTAAATAAAACGGAACTATATGCAGTCGCGGATGATTACTTAAATCCTATACCACAGCGGTCCTTCCTTAACTTGCAACGGAGTATAATAATTTCTTTTTAATATAAATTTGTTGTGTGAAACGTAATTTTTAAGGACGGGGTAAGTGTAAAAGATTTTGATTTCTTAAAAATTTTCCAATTTTGAATATTTCTTTTGAAAAGGACATGAAACAGTTTTAATGAAAATCTAATAACGAGTTTCAAAAATAATTTTCAGTTACAGACAAAGTTTAGTTCAGTTACAAACAAAAATCATTTAAAAATATTAATTAAAACATTCCTAAATATGGTATTCATACATACTTCATTCGTCTTTTTCTGGTAAACAAAGAAAATAGTGAAAAGCATTAAACAAGAATTGTTTCCTTTCATTTTGAAATTCGATGAACGACAAATTTCATATTCTTACAAAATATTTATTATTGAAACATAATTGAATTTCGTCTTTAAGTTACCCCGGACACTACTTTATAAATTTAATATGGTAGCTAAAACTAGAAATACAAACTTCACTCAATCATAAATTGTCATTTCCCCCCTTCATTTTGGCCGCATCATTATCTTTCTTACATTGAAAATTCAATTTATCATAATTATGAATTAATTAAAATAGAAAAATAACAAACCAGTATGCAATGAGAAGTATGGCAAAATCTGCCACAAACAAAAACAAGATAGTAACGTCTGATAGTGGCGTGATTCCTCCCCATTTCAGTACAGCCACGATGCCAATCACAGATACAAAAAGAACAGCTAGGCCTGTCAAGAACCAAGCCATCCAGGCGGATATTTTCTTCAAACCCATCACTCGAAGAGTCTAAAATTACCCAAATATAAAACTTTAGTCCAGTTAGTGAGGATAGAAAATATTATTTGATAAAAATAAGCAAAAATTATTTGATAGAAATATTCACCATTGAGAGAAGCGTTCCATTTTAAACTATTTAAAAAATAATAATCAGTAAAACAATGGAAGTTTAAAAGTGTAGACAGTATTACCAGGTAATGTTCACCACATGTCGATACAAATCTTTGCATTTTAAATTACTTTGAAAATTTTCCGATGGCTTAAAATTATTAAGATAATAGAAAATCGAAAATTCAAAGCTTTTTTTAAAATTTGTAATTGGGATTTGATTCAGCGTGGTGTCATGGGCAGAAAAAATAGGTTTGTGGCAAACTGTTTAGGTGATCTAAGGAATTGACAAGCTGAAATGTAGACATGTTTAAATTAATTTTTGATAAGAATAAAAAGAGTCAAGCACTTCATTCGTAATGTCTCGCTATGCTGTTTTTTATTTACTGCCAAAATATGAACATTTCATAGAAATGTGCCTGACAATCATAAACATGATTTAATATGGTTTGCAATATTCAATAGAGGTAATATATTTTGTACAATACAATGGGTAAAAAAAGTTTTAAAACGGTTAAATATCTCGAGAAGTCTGAGATAGGAGAGGGGAAAATAGACGCCATTAATGTATTTTTTATAAAGCTATCCAATGATATCAAACTCGATCTTCCACCTCGTCCCCCTAAGGGCAGCTTAGTCAAATCTTACGTATGAACTCTTATTTTTTTTTCTTTATAGAAGATTCGAATTTGCTAGAAAACAATAACCATATTAGATCTAAATATTTATGCATTTTGGTTCACAGGTGGCGCTGCAACCGAGAATATTAAAACAGGGTATTATCAGATTACGAACAAAAAATAGACATGTTCCAATTTTTTCCAAATAGACATGTTCCAATTTTTTTTCTAAATGGACAGTTCCAATTTTTTTTCCAAATGGACATGCTCCAATTTTTTTTCTCCAAATAGTTCCAATTTTCTTTTTAAGATAATTTTAACGGAAAAAATACCGAAAGGTTATTATTATTATTTTTTTTCAATATCACTGATCTCAATATACCATTATTTTAAAGAGTTTGTACCCAATTTTTATTTTCTCGGTTACAGCGCCATCTGTGAAGCAAACTGCATAAAACTAAAACTCAAGTAGGGTTACTTTTTTTTCCACGGAGAATCTGCACCTGGAATTAAAAAAAATAAGGGTACCTGAAATAAAATTGGGGGAAAATGACACTGACTAAAATTAAAATCGTTTGAGGAAAATTATGTACCTTCCATAACATTTTGAAGTCAATGGAGTTAACCTCTAAGAACGATCAACCTCCATTAACGACCACTGTACTGAGGAACAGAGATCTGCCGCTTTCAAGAGGTTTCACTGTAATAAACTAATGGATAAGATAATATTTTGAAGTCAATGGAGGGGACTGACCAACCTCCATTAACGACCATTGTACTGTGGTACAGAGATCGGCAGCTTTCGAAAGATTTCACATTAATAAACTACTAGATAAGATAACATTTTGAACTCAATGTAGGTAACCTCTAAGACTGACCAACCTCCATTAACGACCATTGTACTGTGGTACAGAGATCGGCAGCTTTCGAGAGGTTTCAATGTAATAAACTGATGGATAAGATAATATTTTGAAGTCAATGGAGGTAACTTCTAAGACTGACCAACCTCCATTAACGACCACTGTACTGAGGAACAGAGATCGGCAGCTTTTGAGAGGTTTCACTGTAATAAACTACTAGATAAGATAACATTTTGAAGTCAATGGAGGTAACCTCTAAGACTGACCAACCTACATTAACGACCATTGTACTGTGGTACAGAGATCGGCTGCTTTTGAGAGGTTTCACTGTAATAAACTACTAGATAAGATAACATTTTGAAGTCGATGGAGGTAACCTCTAAGACTGACCAACCTCCATTAACGACCATTGTATTTACCACAATTCAGCTTTCGAGAGGTTTCACTGAAATAAACTACTAGATAATAGATCTGTAAAATAGAAATTAAAATAAGCTCCTGACTATATTAAGTAATTTTTTACAAATTCCGTATCACACAAAACCAAAATAAAATATTGCCTAACATATTTTTTACATAAAATTCGATTGAAAATTAATAAAATTAACATTATGTGGGATAATGAAATAAACGACATTTAACTTAACTCACTTCGTCTAATTCCAGTTCTCTACCGAGTACTCGTTCTCTCACCAAAAATGCTACAATGAAAATCCACGATATGGTCATGATCGCTGGCATGATTCCTTTCAAAAGTGTCCCCCATCTGTACACAAAAGAAATTATAAAAAGCCAATTAATTTACAATTCTAATGTTTAACCCTTTGACGCAAATATTTTTTTTGTAAGGGGAATCAGTAGGGAATCTAACGCTGATGATCAAACTGACCTTTTTTGATGTACCTTTTCTAAGAAACTATTCATGATATATAGCTTTGAAATTTTTGGAGATATTTGAGATTATATCAGTTGTATGCAGTGGCAATGTCATAGCGTTAACAGCAATACTTGCTGAGTTATGAAAGATTTTTGATTAAACTTTTAAAAAAGTGAAAAGTTCTAAGTTCATAAATTTTTAAAAAACTTTCTGTCAAACTTATGCATTAACAGTTATCACAGAGTAGACATGTATATATAAATATTCTGTGAGAAATAACTGAAGCAATAGCTTTTTTAGATGCTGATAAGAGGTACATTGAAAAAGGTCTGTTATAGCATTATTTGCATGTACACTACCGACTCCCCTTTTAAACTCATTTTTAATAACAAGAAAAAAAATTATTGTTTACGAATAGCATACTTATCACTTTGGTGGCATGGATACGGAAACTGTTGCAGATATTTCTTCACGCTTTTATCTTCAATTGAACCTGTCTGAATGTTGATGATAGCATCGTCTATGGTATCTTGCAGTTGAATAAATCCTCTGAAATATCTCAGATCTTCAAAGAAGTCATCATAAGGATAAGGCCTCCACCATCTGTTAACAAACATAATAAATGTATATCGACTACTTCTTTCAACCCTTATTTACAGAATTAATTACATAGCAGGACGTTAAAACTACACCCAATAATGAAGTCTTGGGGAATTTAGCATACGTCTAGCTTACTAAAGAAATCAAACAAGATTAACTACAAATTAATTATAATACAATTAGTTTTAAAACCTAGGGTGTTAGTGATGGGAAAAGTTAATAATAAAATAAATTTAGTGTTTTAAAGATTCAGGGAGAGGATTTCTTTCTTAAAATAAAACAGGTTTGAATTTCTCAAATTTCATTAAAATTATTTTGAAGTTAAAGCTTTGCTAAAAAAGAACTTAAATTTATCGATTCAAGGGAAACAGGTTCTATATATGTTTAGTTTTAAAATTTAATTTAAAGTGTTTCTATGAAGGTTAACCCTAAAGATTATTTTCTAATTGTTGTATAAGGTTAAACTTAAGGTTGGACAAAAAAGATAAAAACGTATTAAAAAGACTAATACGGGCCATCAAAATACTGACCTGTACTTAATATATTCAGTCGTTGGTACATTATCAATATCCATTCGTATTTTGTAAGAAACTTTCTTTGGTAGAAGGTACTCAGAAATTCTTATAGTATTCTCTGGTTGATTTGGATCTGTTTCTTCGTCTCCCACAAATACGATAGCTGTAAAACAATCAATAGTTAACTTGGATAAATGGAATTTGAATCAATGCAATTGGACAAACTAATGTTTGAAGAGATCATATATCCAGTAATTGATTAATTAACACGTTGAATGTCACGCTAATTTTACTTGGCTTGCCCGTCTAGCCAAATGGTAAATAACAACAAACTAAATTTGCATATATTAGACAGGTTTTGATAGTTTTATAATAGGTTTAGCATACCTTTCAGGAAAAAGTGGTGAATTATATAAAACTACGAATTGTTTAGAAATAGTGTTAATAAAAATCAATTAAATTGAATTTATTAAACCAGGAATCACAATTAATAAACTACCACTTGAAAATATTTATTCGCAGTAGGGAGCAAGTTGGCATCTCTGTGTATATAAATAAAACTAATTTTGCATGCTCTATATTGCATTAATTTCTTCAAACCATTTTAGTAACGATAATAATATAAAAAGATTCGAAATTTACTCGAACTATGTGTTTCTAATAATCTTGGCTTCACCGGTCACTGGTGACCCCCGTGGTGCAACGAACACACTCAGTGCCGGTCGCTGGTGACCCCTACGGCATTCAACGTGTTAATTGTTTAGAACTGTCAAATGTAATTGAGTATTAAACTCAGTTTTGAGAGGGAAAATTATCACATTTTGTCACAACTTTTTTATGAAAATAACTGTTACCGTTATTTGCTCATCGCGACGGTTTTTTTCTCTCCCTCCCCCCCAAAAAAAATTATATGTTACCTGGAATGTTACATTTTCTTTTCGGTGTGTTACTGAATATTAGCAAATAAATGTATTTGTACACTTCGCAGTAAAAGTGTTCCTTTTTTTATTAATTAAAATGTGCTTGACCAGGGTGTTAACTAGTTCAGAATTCGATGATTTTCAAGAGTTTTTGAACTAGCTAATTTTTAAGGAGTCTGATTTTTAGGAATAAGAATTGGTTTTCAAAAATTTGTGCTTATTAGATCACAAAAATTAACTAAACATTAATAGGACGGCTAGAGCCGTCATTCGCTCCAACGTGTTAAAAGCGTAGAAACGATGCTTAAACAATGCAAGTAACTACACTTGACGAATTGAAAAGCAAAAATTACTCTTTTCAGTATTCTTTAGAAAAATTATGTAACTAATGGTAACTCTTGTTACTTGGGGAGCTGTTTATTTGATGGCTATGCAAGAATAATCTATTTTATCTATATACATATGCGTAGCTGACAACTTACACAGCCGTTAAGAAATAATTTTTTTAGTTGTGGCAACGTTAGCGCTTTGGCGTATTAAAGTCTCAAATTTTTTTTAGCCCTTTAATGGGCCATTTATTTCGTAAAGGCAAATTGAAGTATTTTTAGAACTGAAATAGTTATAAGAATAGTAATTGATATAAGAAAAAAACTCATTTAGTTTATAAAAATGCCATTTTTTTGATAGTGCGTCAGGGGTGAAAGCGAGACGGAAAAGAGGAAAGGCTGGTAGTAAAACCATTTCAGTTATAGCTAGTTTTGGGGAGGAGTTTACTTATTCTTTTTTTAAATTTTTCAACAACATCTACTTTATCTTGGAAAAGAAACAGTTTTATATATATGCCAGAATTATAAAAGAAATCGTGATAGTTACAGATATTTCATTTTTTTCGAAAAAATGCTGGAATGAAATGTTTTACGTACCAGGTTTTTCTCTTTTCCGTCTTGCTATGTAAGGGCTTTCACCCATGTAGTGCGTATATTTAACACGACCTATTAGGAACGTATTGACTTTCATTTTTCTTTATTAATAAAATTAATTTTATAAATGCTACAATCTTCGAAAGGAACAATGCATTTTATAACTTTTATACGTTTTCTTAAACTAACAAATGGTTGCTAATCTTATTCAAACGCATTTCAGGAAAGTTGAAGTTATTAACAAATGAAACCTAAATTTAATGTGGTAAAAAAATTCACTATAGACTTTGAAAATTGGTGGTAAATATACTTACCACGGCTTTAAAAGGGTTAAACTAGCACGAAGAATCAATAATTTAAAAAAAAAATGTTAATAAGATCTATTTGTAGGCTAATTATGCTTATAGATGTCGTAACGGTTTTGTTATTAGGAACTTCTTCAAAACTTAATTGATGTTTTACTGCAGCTTTGTAAAATTTTTTCAACGACTGTACAAGGTATCTTGCCATGGCTAAGACTGCATATCTCAACATGACTTAATTCAGACATCGTTATGTGAGGGGAGGGGGGAAGTTAAGATAGAAAAAAGCGAAGATTCTTGTGCAGATGAACAGCGACAACAATTAAAAAAGAAGAAAAGAAAACACTAAGTGCTCACTCGTGAAAAAATTATCGGAATTGACTCCTGTGAACAAAAGTATTTGGAAGAAAGAGCTTCTTCTTTAAATCTTTTTAAAATAAAACAAGATTAAGATACCATAAATGTCTACAAAATGTTCTCATCGAGGAGAATCGAGAAATATTTTTCGTTCTAATTTCTAGAAGAAAAAAAACGATAGCTCACCCGCCTTTTGAAAGATAAGATCATTAATAGCAATATTTTTAACTCATTTTAGGCCAAGGATAAAATTATTTTAAAAAATGGTATTATTTTCATTGAAATAGGTTTTCATTAAAATCATTAAGAAACAAAAGTTCCTTGAATGAAAAATAATAATTTACTTAAGACCTGAATTCATGCATAAATAACAATGTAAATGGTGCATAAATGGTAATGATGAATAAAATGGAGGACTTGAAGCTTGAAACCATAATAAAACATATGGTTAGTCTCAAGTGGAATAATGATATGCTTTCCAAAAATTCGAATTTGTAAATAACGTTCCAAGTTTAAAAAAAGTAGCGTGTTTTAAAAATTTCTCAACAGGAAAAAAATTCAAAAGATCAAACCGAAACTTTTTACTACAATTGAACTACTAACAATTTATAGATGTCTTCAGAATCTTTAAAAATAGTAAAAATAACTAAACGAATGAATAAATAAAATAAAATTAATGACATCTCAGTGTCAATAAAAATGTTTATTGAAATGGTGACACCTTTGGCTGAAAATAGGTTAAACAATAATAACAAAATATTTTTCAGATATCTTTCGAAAATGCTATTTTGATTTTTCAACATTTATATCTAAACTATTTTAACTAGTGGTTGTAATTGGGCCATTAAGAGTAATAAATGCTAAATAAATACAACAACCAACACTCCTTAAGTCATTTACGAGAATTAATAATAAACTCCATTTTTCTTGGGGGGGGGTTGTCATGCCATTATACTTTCCATATGTAACAGAATTAAAGAGGAAAGGCAAAGCTGCAAAGCACGATAAGAGTTGAATAAATAAATAATACTAAGAAACTGAAGTGGAAAGATATTACTTGAATGAAAACTTCTTCGCTTCAAAAATATACAAATTGAAAATAACAGTCGATATGTTCCGAGCGCTCAAAAACGGTGCCCATTTTCAAGACGTGTCAGACATGAATGAGAGGAAACAAGAGTGCTTTGATGAAAAACGTAAAGTTTCAGCGAAAAAGAGAAAATAAAGGTGACAGACACCACAGTAGCCGAGAGAGAATAAAAAAAGGAAAAACAGAAGAAGAAAAGTTTTTGTTCTGTTTCTTGCTATATTTATATCTTTCGGCTACTGTATTTTTCGCTAGTTCTGTAGTTATCACCTTTATTTAAGGTGATAGACACCACAGTAGTATTTTATTAAAGGTGATAGACACCGCAGTAGCCGAGAGAGAATAAAAAGAGGAAAAACAGAACAGGAAAAGTTTTTGTTCTGTTTCTTGCTCTATTTCTCTCTCTCGGCTACTGTATTTTTTTACTAGTTCTGTAGTTATCGCGTTTATTTTTCCCTTTTTCGTTAGCAACTTTACTTTTTTTTTCGTCAAAATACTTTTGTTTCCTGCTATTCATGTTTGGTAAGTCTTGACAATGTGCGCCTGTTTTTGAGTGCTTGAAACAAGTTGACTACTATTTCCAACTTGTATATTTTTTTATGCGAGTGAAGTTTTTAATTAATACGATAAGATTTTGTCATTTGTCACTAGCTTTCCTCGTCTATTTCATACAATGACAAAAGAGACACACACACTTATTGAATTGTAAGTTACCTGCAATGAATTCTCTCCTGTCATGCAATGTTGCTGCGGCAGCTTCAAGCTCAGTTTCCGAATCAAATCCAATGAAGCGATCCAAGCTTATGCATTCAGTCACGTTGCCAACTAGTTCCACAAGATGCAATAACGAACGACTACTGGTGTTGGGAGCATCCAGCCAAGAAAGAGCAGCTCCCCACGAAGAAGATTTTATAAACCTCGAGACAGCATTAGAAGCGAAAAATTTCTGAAATCACAAAATTAACGGATGTTACAGTTAATACCAGATGCCTACTTTGTAAAATTAATTTAGTGTAGCGTTGCCACCATTACTGGTGTTGATGTTAAACTAAATACATTTCAAAGTACAGAACTGTAGTTAACGTGCAGATATCATCATCAATAGCTCGACAGCCCACGGTGGGCCATGGCCTTCTCACGAAGTTTTTTCCAGGCTATCCTTTTTCCTACAAGAGCTTCCCAGCTTTTAGTAAGTTAGTTTAGTTAGTTAGCACTTCTACTAACGTGCAAATATAAGAATTATAAAAGATGTTCTTGTTTTTTCAAACGAAATGTTTTTGCAATCAAGACGAAAATTAATTCCACTCAGTACAAAAGTATGAGCTGTCTGTAAATAATTAAAAAAATTAAAATAAAACTGTAACAGCCAAAAAGTAAATTAAAAACGAGTGTATACGCACAGTAAAAATTTTAGTTTTCCTCAACATCAAAAATCGTGGTAACTATGCGCCAACATTTTTCACATCGCAGAAAATAACGGGTGATTTAAAAAAATCGATTAAAAAGGGAAAATAAATAGAAGAGTAAGTTTTGTTGAGTCCCGTAGGCATTGTTTTTCATCACACTTCAAAATCAGCTACAAAATTCTTAATAGATGGCAATGATAGCTGGAAAACACTATGAATAATGTTTGCAAAATTATCACCATTTGCATCAAAAAAGTTACCTAGCTTGGTGACAAAATTAACTGACGCTTGAAAAAACATTTTAGTTGGAAGAACATGACCCTGGAACAGAAAACACATCGTTTTTACAGGTTTTTCAAATCAGCCCCGCCATCTATTGACATAATTCGTAACTAATTTTATAACTTGGCAGGTAATTCTGGTTTCCTACACAAACATTTTAGTAGGAAGAACATGACCATGGAATAGAAAACACATCGTTTTTACAGGTTTTTAAAATCAGCCCCGCCATCTATTGACATAATTCGAAACTAATTTTATAACTTGGTATGCAAGTCTGGTTTCCTACACAAAACGCAAATATGTATGGGTCATTTTGGTGTGGCCATAAATAAATGAAAGTTACTATTGTCGGTTTTAAACTAAGTTTATTCTGAGTAAAATTAAATTAAAGTACTTCAAATTTTACTTAAGTTTGATAAAATTGGTTTTAAATGTTAAGAAAGAAAATAAAAAATTTATTTGACTCCATTCGCATGTAAACTGCAAAAAAGGTCATAAAATTGTGGTGATTTCTAATCTGAAATTAGTTTTGTTCCGAAAGCTACAGTTCAAAATTTAAAGAAAACATAGAAAAAATTACAGAATAAAAAGAGAAAAAAAATTATTAAAAATCCCCCCAAAAAGATATAATCTTTTCATCAGCTCAAACGACCATATTCGCAAAAAGGAGTGCTTTCTTATATTGTATCAATAATGCGAAAGTCAAATATATCGATGAAAGCACTCCTTTCTGCGGATATAATCGTGGGAGTTGATGAAGAGGTTATATCTTTTCCCCCCAGATTTTTAGTAATATTTTTTCTCTCTCTTTTCATTTTTCTGTAATTTTCGCCACATTTAGAACTTATTTTATGAGTTCTATATATTTGCAGCTCATGCGCAGTAAATAAAACTTATTGTTTTTCTTAATTTTCGTCGTTTTTCTTTTTGTCCTTTCTGTATTTATTTATTGTGCTATATATACACATATATATGCATACATATATAATTAGACCTTAACTTCATCATAAACTGAAATGTATTATCCCCTTTTTCCTACCATTTCTTACGTAACAGAGAAGTAGGGGCACGCGCTTAATATTCACTCGAGCGAATTTCAAAATATCCTGATTAGGAACATATTATATAATTTTATCAAAACCATAGCCTGTCGTGAGAAACCGATTGCAGATTTGAAATTAGCAACGTGAAAATGTCTAAGATCTGTTACAAATGTCAGGCAACGAAAACTGCACCCGGACGCAACAGTTTAAATGTTTATAAATAAAAAATATCAAATGGTAATGGCTGGAAGTGTTCTCTAAATTCAAAAGAAAACATTCTGTTTCAGTTCACTTCCGCTGAGAATCATTTGTTGTAAGAGATTATGTGCTAAAGTCTAAGGTTTCCAAAAAATTTCATACCTGCAAAGATGAAAGCGTTTCATTTTTCCTTTGGAGATAATGCAATCCTGTTGAACCTTCAGCAGCTGCTTTGATGAACTTCATTTGTTCTTCAAGCGAATTAAAAGTTTCATTTATCTGGTTAAAGTACAATTAATATTTTAAAATGCACAAAACATACCAATTTACAACATTATCAGCCCTGCAACATTATGCACAATAATTGATACAGAGTACTTTACAATTCTTCTGAATTTTATTAATGAAAAGTATGATAGATACTACGGAAATGATTCTGGAATCATATGCAGAAATTTTAAAAGTTATTAGATTTTTTACTTTTTTGCCTTACATGTATTTGATACGTAACTTTTTGAAACAGGTCAAAGTTTAAGAAGATACTGAATCGTTTGCTTTACGAATCACCGGTAGATTCAACCTAGAATTGAGAGGGAAAGATTATTTTTCAAGAGCAAGATGTATTTAATATTTAAGATGTATTTCTGCATATTTTAAAAACTTGCGGATTCTAAGATTTCCACACTTGGAAATCTTAGAATCGATTAAATTCGTCTAATACCGCTTCTGTCAACTGCCATAGACTGATTTCTTTTTAAAAATGCACAAAAGTGGTTTTATAAGTCTTTCTTTATTAAGACTTATTTTGTAAAAACAGAATAATTCCATTTTACCACAAGGAACTAATAATATAAATATTTATATTTGGAGCCCTATGACGTTGCTTAATAACTCAAACAACAATTCAAGCAGTAGGTAATATAAGAACTTCGCTTACTAGGACTGAATGCGTAAATTAATTAGAGCAGACGATAATATAAGTTATGAAATCAGACACAAAACGTACTTTTCCGAATGAACATACCCTTTTATCGTTGGATTCGGATTTCTGATCCCCCAAAGTATAAGGGATAGCATCAATCTGTGAAATATGGTCTCATAGGCAAATTTCTACCAAAATTTGATCCGGGAGTCCCCTTGTCTTTTGGATTGGGTTCAAAATTACAAGGCTACGGAGTTGAACATGGGTAGTTGTAAACTCGAAAAAATCGGGTGATTTGTTCAACGACTGTTATTAAAGTAAAATATATAAAAGTAAAATAATACTAAATTTTGAGGTAATGTATTAAATTTTGCAAGAAGGTTCAATAGTCAATAAATATCCAATCACATGACTGAATTGTGTTGAATAACAGCTCACAGAAATGATTTTGTTTAAAGTCGCTCACAGTATAGAGCTAAAATGGGCCGTCATAGATGATGTTTATATCTCCTGTTTCATTGCAGATCTCGATTAATGCCGTTTTGGAAAACAGGAGTGAATGTTTATATCCTCATGCATTTACAACCACCAAAACACGTTGATAATTGAAATGAATATATTTGACTTCTGTTATCAGAAATCTACTTTAATTTAACATAACAGAAATAAGAACTAAGCGCCAATGTTGTATATTCGGGGCTGTTTGCACTCCGGAAAATGTATAAGAGTGGTAGTAAAATCATTTAATTTCTGGTTAGTTGTTAGAAGGAATGAATGACATGAATCAAAGCCTCCACACGGTTTTTTATAGGTAGTCTGATCAAACCACTATGAAAATGATCCAGACTTCAAAAGAGCCATTTAATACAAAATCTAGTAAAATTAAGAAAGTAGTATTAAATGTTTCTCTAAAAATTTGTTTAATTTATGTATATGATTGGTTTGTCCTATTTTACTTGTCAACCACCATAAATTCAATTCTCAAATTGATATGATAAATTTCTTCCAATTGCTTTTAAAAAAAGACCCATTCCATTGAGCTTCGGCGATTTATGAAATTCCCACTCACAGAGATGCCAACTTGCTCCGGACAGCAAATATATATTTAAAAGTGGTAGATTATGAATTGTAATTCCTGGTTTAATCAATTCAATTTAGTAGATTTTTATCCACCACTATTTCTAAGCAATTTGTAGGCTTATATAATCCATCACTTTATTTAGATATGTCATGCTGCTTCGCGGCCCAGGTGCCCAATAAAATCAAAACACTAGGACTAGGACTAGATATGTCATGCTAAACCTTTTAAAAAGAGAGCAATAGTACTAAAATATTTGCAAAATTTACTTTGTCATTATTTACCACTTTTTTAATTAGTTTGGCGTGTCCGGAGCAGTTGGCATCTCTGCACTCATATGAATTAGTTAGAGCCCCTCACAGGGCTGACGCTAAGATAATTAAAACATATGAGTACTTTTAAAAAATAATTTGGGTTCATGCGCACAACTGGTTCACTTTTTAAATAGTCTGCGGAGACTTCTAAACATCGTGCGGAGACTTTCTAATGTATAAGGTGCTGCATGAATACCAAATCTTACTAAAAGTTATTTCCGTTTTCAGGAAACAGTCCTGTATATACGTTAACAAGTATTGGTGGCAGGGTTTCTTTGAGTCCTCCCAAAAGTAAGCTAAATATGAAATGGTTTTGCCACTAGCTTTTTGTCTTCTTTTCAAGAATGTAAACAATCCTGTGACGGACTTTTTTCATAAAATCATTTTCCTGCAATTCCTCTTATTAATCAAAGTATGAAGAGGAAATTGCGAATTTTATTTGTAATTAAACCGTTCACTATTATTTGTAATACACATTTTGTGAACTAAGAAAATTCTTTCCCATACAAAAAAAAGTAAAGTGTTTTTGAGGTTGGAAAACGGAGAAAAAAAATACACCTCAGGTAGAAAATGAGGTTGTGTTTTGCACCAAAACTAACTTCATAAATAAACCCCAATTTCAACCTCATTTACACCACATAAAATATTCTCATATATAACTCCACAATACTTTTAGTTGTGATTGGGTGAAAAAATAGCCTGCACACCTAACAAATAACCTCTCTAAATTGGTTGATCTAAAATAGATTTCCAACAACCTCAAGTGTGAATAAAACAATTTCATACACCTTGATTATGCAACTTGATCTTTTAAGGTTGTTTTTGAAGTTAACTTCAAATAAACCTTAAAAACACCTTAAATTGTAGAAAGGGTTTCCTTATAAATTATTTCTGTAAGTTTTAGCATGGGATGTAATTTTTTTAGTAAGTGGTAACAAAAAGGTAATAAACCTGGACACTTTAATACACTCTTTACCCGCACAGAATGTGATTATCAAAAGAAAATATATTTACATGAATGTTATCGCCTACCAGATCTTTCAACATTAAAGTAATATCTTAGAAAGGAAATTTCCTATTAGCACTAGTATTAATGTAATATCTTCGTAAAATTTTTTTAAGGTTCGTGATTACTATGTTTTCTTACTTTTGCAATGATGTGAAGTGCTGGTTCATAGCTCTTAGGAGAAAAGAGTATCTTTCCCCGAAAGAGAGGTTTTAAAAATCCCCACAAAATGGCACCACCTCGCATTTTCATGATTTCTTTGTATCCGTGCCGGCAAAAGTCAGCTGAAAATAATTAAAATATATTATTTTAATGTTGATAAAGATGTTTCAGACAAATTAACGCTTTTTTATGTACAATCAGGTTTAACCTAAAAGAAATATTCGTTTGCAATTATGATGCATTTCCTATTAACAGGGAAGAGTTAGACGTTAGGAGTTTCGTTTCTAATTTGAAATACCACTTAGTTGTGCCATAAATAAAATATGAACTACTTATTTAGGTGGTTTACAATTTAAAATAGCTAATTAAGTATATATATATATATATATATNGATTCAGAAAAGCATTCGTACAAAATCAGAATCAAGTTGCAATTAAATAAAAAACGGTAACTTAAATGCAGTCTTTGCTAATTTGACAGACTTACTTTGCTTTGACTTTAATTATTGTTAGTTTAATCATATATATAATCAATGTTAGTTCAAAGTATAACTAAATAGTTTTATTTTGAACAAAGTAATGGTGAATTAAATAAATCAAACAATTATAACTCCGCCCACAAATGAACTGCTAAAGAAATACTTTGATTACCAGCTTTATCTTTTTACCCTGGTTGATACGGTTTCATGCTGTCACGTATTTGTGACAGTCGGCGCGAAAGGGTTAAATATAGTTGTAAGGTATGATAAGTGTCGAATCTGAAAATAAATTTGCTTTTTGAAAATTTTCTTTCGATCGGTTTTTATTTTCAAATGGCCCTTACTTAAAAAACGCGTTTATATTTAAGGAGCTGAGTGGATGAGTCAGGTAAGTGACATTTTCAACATGACTGTCATTAGGGTAAGAAATAAAAAAGTGGTATGAGTTACAGATATTTTATTATAGAGTTGTTGTAAACAGGGCTTATAGTTATTTGCCTTAATTTATTAACCACTACATAGTTTAAAGTAAACAAAACGATGCAAGCTTACACAAAGCTAATGAGGATTAGTTATATTAAAAGTAAATTGAAAGCAATAACATTTCTGTTACATTAAACATTACCAAATTGATGCTTTCACTCTATGACATTTTCCTGTGAAAATGTCACTTACCTGGTACATCCACTAAACTCATCATTTATATCATATGCTATACTTACTCGGTAGTCTCAAAAGCTCTTTTTCTTCGATTTTGTTTTCTGTTTCTGAGGGAGCGAGAAGTTGAAACCTTCGACTTAATGAAGTTAAAGGTTTTCCGCACAAGATCTGCCCTCCAACTGCCATCGCTTCAGGAGCTACAAAAACACAATATTGAAGATTATTACACACATACATCAACAATTAATTTCACTCTTATTCTCTTTAGAAGGCATTTATCGGTTAATGGTTAAGACTGGAAGTTAATGCAGATAAAAAAATATATACATATCAATGAGTAATTGGCAAAATTTTATAGTTGTTGTGACTAACCATTACATGGTCTTTTTTATTATTAAAGATTAACATCCAAAATTATACCATATATTGTTACTCGATTAAAAAACTTAATACATTTAAAAATATATAGATTGGAAATGACAGTTGACATATTTCAAGAGCTTAGTATGCACCCTTTTTCAAGACTTGACAGACGTGAATGAATTCTCATTCATGTTGATACTAATGCTTTGTTACCAGGCCTGAAAGCGAGACCGAACAGAGAAAAAACTGGTAGAAGAATTATTTCAATATTAGATAATATTCGGGAGGAGTTAATCTATTCTCCACAAAAAGAATTCACTGCAAGGAAATTTATCACGGCAAAAAAGTAATTCAATATGAAAATTGAATCCATTAAAAACAATTGGTAGTTATGGATTTTTATTATTCCGGGAAAAAAACTAAAAAATGAAATTTACTTGTTACCAGTTATTACTCTTTTCCGTCTCGATATATATGGGCTTTCAGCCCTGTTTGTTACCGATATATAGCACTTTACCATATTAACTCTCTTAAAACGTAAAATAAAGGTTACAAATTATACAATTATATCATAAATTAAGTAAGTTTTCTTTAGCACGTCACCTAGTTAATAATTGCTAGTTAAAGTCTTCTCATAATTAATTATTTCATTTAGCGACCGTTGAAAAATAATTTCTTTAGTGGTAGCAGCATAAGCATTTTGCCGTATTAAATCTTGAAGTTTAATTTTTTTTAACTACCACGATGAATCAATAATTTAAAAAAAATGTATCGATAAGATCTATTTGTTGGCTAATTATGCTTATAGATGAAGAAATGCCTACTTGCTCCACTTTGTAAAAAATATTTTCAAGTGTTAACAAGTTTTTAGATCAGCATTTTCTACTTCAAATAATTTTTCACAATTACCTATCAAAAATTCAAAGTATCCCATGAAAAGGCAACTTTATTGCAGTTATCCATCACCTCCTACATCAAGAAGCTTCCACACAGTCTTTTATAAGTAGTCCGCGCAGACTGTCTAAAAAGTGAACCAGTTGTGCGCATGAACCAAAATCCTTTTATAGAAGTAATTCGAGAGAAATTTATCTTATATATTTGAGAATTGAATCTGTAGTGGTTGACAAGTGAATAAGGCAAACCAATAATATTCATAAATAAAATAAATTTTTAGTTAATTATTTGCCACCACTTTCTTATTTTAACTATATTCTGTATTAAGTGACTCGTTCTGTAAGTGGATATCCTTCACGGTGGTCTGATCGGACTACCTATGAAAAACCGTGTGGAGGCTTTCAGTTATAGAAGGCGTTGAGTTATCTCGTGTTGGTACTTTTAATGAGTATGCGTAATTATCCTTATTCTACAAGTTTTACTATTTAATTTGCTTACAATTTTTTAAAACTTTTGCGGAAAGTGGAGTTGGCATAACCGTAGATGTCTTAATAGTTTTGTTTTTAGAAAACTCTTCCAAACATAATTTTTATTTTACCACCACTTTGTAAAATCTTTTTCAACCACCGTACAAGTTGGTAGGCATGAATAAAGCACAGAGATATCATTAAAATAAAGATAATTGTTGTGTAATGAAAAACAAACTAACTAGCTATCCAATCGGTTCCTTCTTCTAGTTGCCGGAAAAGCAGTTTTACTTCGGGAATCATAACTTCAGTGACTGTTTCCAAGTGAGATGTCAGTTTGTTTACTATTGCAGGAGCATTAGATAGAATGCTCAGTGTTTTGGATGCCTCCTGTGCATCTACCTCAGCTTCTTTTAAAACACCTTCTATGCCTAGGGTTCCAAACTGGAAATAAATGAAAGCAAAATAATTTTTAATATTGTAATCGGTCACTTAACAACGAAATTAAGAATCCATACTATATCACTAAAGTAATATACACATATTTATCACATATATTATAACGCGCTGAATGCCACGCTAATTTTACATGGCTTGCTCATCTGGCCACACGGTAAATAACTACAAACTAAATTAGCAAATACAGGCAGATTTTGCTAGTTTATAAAAGGTTTAGCATAACACATCTGATAAAAGTGGTGAAGTGTATATGCATACGAATTGCTTAAAAATAGTGGTAATAAAAATCTACTAANTTTACCACCACTTTGTAAAATCTTTTTCAACCACCGTACAAGTTGGTAGGCATGAATAAAGCACAGAGATATCATTAAAATAAAGATAATTGTTGTGTAATGAAAAACAAACTAACTAGCTATCCAATCGGTTCCTTCTTCTAGTTGCCGGAAAAGCAGTTTTACTTCGGGAATCATAACTTCAGTGACTGTTTCCAAGTGAGATGTCAGTTTGTTTACTATAGCAGGAGCATTAGATAGAATGCTCAGTGTTTTGGATGCCTCCTGTGCATCTACCTCAGCTTCTTTTAAAACACCTTCTATGCCTAGGGTTCCAAACTGGAAATAAATGAAAGCAAAATAATTTTTTATATTGTAATCGGTCACTTAACTACGAAATTAAGAATCCATACTAAATCACTAAAGTAATATACACATATTTATCACATATATTATAACGCGTTGAACGCCACGCTAATTTTACATGGCTTGCTCGTCTGGCCACACGGTAAATAACTACAAACTAAATTAGCAAATACATGCAGATTTTGCTAGTTTATAAAAGGTTTAGCATAACATATCTGATAAAAAGTGGTGAAGTGTATATGCCTACGAATTGTTTAAAAATAGTGGTGGATAAAAATCTATTAAATTGAATTTATTAAACCAAGAATCACAATAATTAAGTCAATTTTGAATAAATTTTCTGCAATTCCATAAAATAGCGTAAATTTTATAGTTTTATATCATGTTATACGCTATCAGCCAGCTGTTTTTCACGGCCTATGTGAAAGGTCAGTGTCAGCCACTGGTGGTTGACGCGGCCTAAATGTAATATCAGTGTCAGCCACCTGTGGTTGACGCGGCCTATGTGAAAGGTCAGTGTCAGCCACTGGTGGTTGACGCGGCCTAAATGTAATTTCAGTGTCAGCCACCTGTGGTTGACGCGGCCTAAATGGAAAGTCCAGTGTCAGCCACCGATGACTGACTCGGCGCTCAACGTGATAATATGCTACGATCATCTAAATTCTAAATGCAAAGACTGGAAGAAAACCAATGTCATACTCTTCCTCAAATCCAGAAAAGATCCTTCGTCACATTAAAGTTATTAACCCATGAGCCTTTAGTGCTCTTTAGGAAAAACCATGGAAAAAATTATTTACATAAAGATAATGTCCCGTCAAGGGCGCCGGCAGAATAATATAATAGGGGGTGCAACCCTCTCACAAACTAACCTCCCCCCCCTCCCAAAAAAAATATTCTGCTATTACATTTTGTTTTGTTATTACATATACTTTCATCTGTTCATTTTTTCAAGATACATTTCTTCATTGTTAGCAAGATATTTAAAAAAAAAGTACGAATTTCTTATACTTTCAAACTTCGCCCAGAGGCGATCGCGCTGGCGCTGGCATAGCTACTGACTTTGAAACACAAATAACTACAAACAGTAGTTTCGTATACTAACGTGTTTGTGCCCGCTTAACATTGGTATTTATTGTGTTGATGAAGTTTTACAGTTGCGAGAAGTCAGTTTGTGTTATACACCTTTGTTAAACTGAATAACTAATAGAAAATATAATATTATTTACATTTTATTAAATGAAATATAGCTTATATTAAAAATATAGCTTAGATATCTGCCAAGTTTGTGAATGCTCAGTGTAGATAAGAAAAGAATCAAAGATGACTCAGAATTCATTGAAAAAGTTATAAACAGATTTGGACAGCAAACAAGACGATTACAATTCTTGTTTGATTGAACAATTTTTTAATTGTTACGTATCGATAATTACTTAATTATTTGTTTTTCCATAAAAATATGTTTAATAAAAAAATTTTATAACAAAATTTTTCTGTATCTCTTTAATTGTTTAAAAAAAGCCAGGGGGGTGCAAATGCACCCCCTTGCACCCCGCTACCGGCGCCCTTGTGTCCCGTCTTACTTTGTTATCTAACGATCAGTTTGGCTTTCGGAAGCTAGCCGGATGCGGAATTCGTATCGACTGGGGTTCGAATCCGGTTCGCCTCATTGGAAGGCGAACGTTGTATCCCCTGAGCCAACTTGGCTCAAAACTTTTTTTTTTTTGTCTACGTGGAATTTTTGGCGTTTTTCACCAAAAACGCTTTCTAGACCAATTTGAAAAATGTGGCTTATCATAATATTTTAATACGCCCTTCAATTCAAATAAACAAATAAGCTATGTTTTAGGCATTTACAATAAAACCCTCAAAAATGTTTTAATTCTGTTTATATAAAACTTGATAGGATTAAAAAATAGCTAAATTTTCGTTTGAAACTTAACATATGAATAACAATTGGATAAAAAATTATCGGAAAAACGAGTGCCATACCGAATAGAGAAATCTTTGAAATACTAAATCCTGCAAGTGTTCTGCGGATAGTGTAGTTTTGTTGTAGTTAGAAAGTATGCACAAAATGCTATCGTCACTAGGTCCTTTGCAAAATGAAACTTTGTCTGAATCAGGTATCACCTTTGCCTAAAATATATAATAAAATGTTACATGAATACTAGGCCTACATTTTTAGATATATTATTCACAAGTATTTTAAACATAATTTAAGACATGTAAATGCTTTTTGTATTAATATTCATAATACATTTTTTAATCATTTATGTAATAAAAATATTATTTTAAAAACGTTATATTTTAATTATCGTTAAAATAAGTTAGTTCGGAATTTCCTTTTTTAGTTGCGGTAATCAATTACTGACACAGTACTTTTAAAACATGGAGACTGGGAGTAAATTTTTGTTGCATTTATGCTAGTACTTAATCATACCTAATTTAGAATGAGAGAATTTTAAATCTGAAATTAATTTTGTTTGGAAAGCTACAGATCCTTCTTTTCAAAATGATATTTTTAGTTAAGTCGGAATGTTGATTAGTCAATTTTAGTTAGTAAATTTTCAGTTAAGTTAATTTCAAGTTAATTTTCAGTTAGTAAATTTTAGTTCAATTAGTAAATTTAGTCAATCAGTTAGTTAATTTTTTGTCGGAATGTTGATAAGGATCATCATGTACATGTCTATATACCTACACATGTAATTGTCTGAATAACTTTTGATCTAATAATCAGATCTTCCAGGACTCAATCTTAATGGTTCCAGGAGTGACCTCAAATATGCAAATTAATTAGTGCAGACGATATTTTAAGTGACGAAATCAGACACAAAATCTTATTTTTCTCAATAAACTTACCTTTTTTTCTGACGGATTCGGATTTCTGGCAAAAGTCTGAATTTTAAGGAAGTCGTATGTTCAAAATTCAATTTCTCAGGAGCTATTCCACCGATTTCACTCAATTTTTATATTTTGCCATGTAAAATTAAAATAAAAATTTAAAATGATGCAAATAAAACTTTAAAATGATGCAAAAAATTTTAAACCTTATAACTCATATTTTTTTCGAATATTATTAAATAAAATGATAAAAAATAATAAATATATACTAAAATTTATTTTCTTGCATAGAATTACCTTTAGATAAACGAAATTTAAAAATTTGTGCAAAAATTTTCAATTTGCTTACTAAATTTTTGAGATATGGCGACACACGCAAAAAGCAAATTTAACATTAAGGTTTCCAAACTTTGGATCGCTCTCCTGACCAAACTGTGGGGGCCATATTTCCCAGATTGCTGCTATGTTTTACTGGTCAGAAAGGTCATAAATTTACATCCATCGAAAAAAAGGTATGTTTATTAAGTGTAAATGCGTTTTTGTGTCCAATTTCGTAACTTAAAATATCGTCTACTCTAATTAATTAGCATATTTGAGGTCACCCCCTCTAACCATTAAGAAAGAGTCTTAGAACGTGAAAATCTGATCATTAGATCAAAAGTTATTTAGGGTGGTCCGTTTTTTCACGCACTGTACAAATGAATGTTTTTGCTTTTATAATTTAAAAACTTCATAAATGTTGCATGCATAAATACTAACTGATATAAGAGGGTAGCCACAATGTGAAAAATTTAAAAACTGGTGATACATGTTTCATAAAGTTGTTGGAAGTTTTAAAAGTTTTATTTTCAATTTAATTCTAAGAATTCTATTAGGAAGTTTTAACATAATTAATTAATTGGCAAATACTTTCAGGTATTTAAGACTCAGATAAAGTATTTTCTTTCTTCGATCTTTTTCTACCAACTGTGGCTACTGTGCATAAGCGAAGTAATTATAAATCGAGGCTTTGTTTCTAAGCAGAAAACAAAACATTTCTGTTTGATAATCATAATGAAGACATTTTTGTATGACAAGAAATAAACAGATACAAATAAAAGATGTGGTTAACCTGCTTTAAGTCAATTTTAGATTCCACAAATTTGGACACGACCTTAGGGTCAACCATGAGTTCAGTGAGCAATATCTGTTCCACATCATATCGAAACACGTCTTGAGGATCATCTAAAATAAAGAACATATTGCCATTAATAATTAAAGGGAAATAATTGCTTAAATAAATTCAAAATTAAAACTAAATAAAAGTTTAATGCGCAAAAAGAATTTTTTTTTTTGCAATTTAACTTAGTCGTAATGAACTTAGTAGTCATGTTTTCATATTTTAAACTGATTTACAGATTCAGCACTGTGCTCGTCCCGCAGTGGACTGATCGTTAAGACACGGTTCCCAGCAGATCGCAGAAGTCAAGCGTCACTGGCTGCGGTCAGTGTGCGGGTGGGTGACCACTTGGATCAGTCTGCGTAGGGACAGAGGGTATGCGGTATTGGTCCTCGTTAAATTGTTCTACAGCAAAGTGTTCCACTTCGCGTGCAGGTCGTCGGGCTACCGAAGCGGGGGTGCCATCACCTATGCAGAGGATCGAAATTTCCAAAGTAACTTGGTAACAAAACGAAGTATGCTTTAATATGATTCTATTTCGGACTTTACCCCGCCTTTACATAAAAACCATGAGTTACCAACACTTTTTTCCGGTAAAAGCCCGAAACGAGAGATTTTTGAAAACTGCTGCTAAAATTATCTTTAAAAATTATTGAAATCTTTTCAGTAGTAGTAGAAAATATACTGCATTAGTTCATCTTTTTCATATGGAATCTTATTTGTGAAATGGCATAAATATCGCATTTCCTTAATTTATTTTTAAATTTCTTGTAATTCTTTGAAAAATAATTATAAGACAAATCCACCGATATAATCTTAAATCATACCTTATTTCGAACACTTTCGCAATTTATATTTTAAATAAAAAAATTAAAGTGTGTTTCAATCTTTTTAAGGCAGGCAGTATACAATAGATGGCACTTTTTTGGTAAAAGAGGCCGTTGATGATACCGTTACATTCTTCCGCGAAATCGAACACCTGCCATTATAATTAATCACTATTAATTATTTTTAATAATCTGATTAATCAAGGGCCCGATTAACCCTATACTAATGTTTTTTTTAAGATTAAGTGCCACTTCACGGTATACACTTGCCCGGTATACTCTCAATAATGTTTTTTTTAAGGTAAAGTGCTACTGCATGGTATACATTTGCCCGGTATATTGTTATTGATATTTTTAAGGTAAAGTGTCACTGCCCACGGTGTATATTTGTCCGGTGTAGTCTCATTGAGTTTTTAAGATCAACTGTCTCTGCACGGTATACATTTGTCCGGTATACTCTCATTGATGTTTTTTTAAGATTACGTGCCACTGCCTGGTATACATTTGCCCTGTATACTCTCACTTATGTTTTTAAGGTAAAGTACTACTGCACGGTATACACTTTGCCCGGTATACTCTCAATGATGTTTTTTTAAGGTAAGGTGCCACTGCACGGTATACATTTGACCGGTATACTCTTACTGATTCTTTTTAAGGTAAAGTGCTACTGCACACGGTATATATTTGTCCGGTGTACTCTCAATGAGGTTTTTAAGATCAAGTGTCTCTGCACGGTATACATTTGTCCGGTATACTCTCACTGATGTTTTTTTAAGATTACGTGCCACTGCCTGGTATACATTTGCCCTGTATACATTTGCCCTGTATACTCTCACTTATGTTTTTAAGGTTATTTGCCACTGTCCTGTATACGTTTTTCTGGTATGCCCAATTCAGAATTTTTAAAGTTTATTACCATTGCCCTCGTTATTCCCAATCAAAGTACTTCCACGCGGGCCACAGGTATATTGTGAAATTTTTTTATTTATATTTTGTTCAAAACTAGTTAAGGTGTTAGGATTGCGGTAATGGTTGTAGGATTAGAATATTTAAGTACAAATGTGCAGTGTATTCGCCTTGGTTATGATTAAAGTTAATAGGCCATCTTTCAAAATTATCTTGTACAACAAGATAATTTTGAAAGATGACCAAGCCGGTTGCCAAAGATGGCAAGTATTGTGATAATTTCCTTTGGGATAATTGTTTAATAAGTATGGACTGTCGTAAAGAAAGTAGACAATTTGTAAAATTAATACTTACAAAGAAAACTAAAATTTGCAAGTTGTGAAAGAGATTTAAATGCTTTTAATCCATCCTTTATTTGATGTAATGTTTCGGTTAAAGAACTGTCAGGAAATATGGGTTCAAAGACATCAGTGAGCTTCTCAAAGCTGAAACAAATAGTACATTAATTACTGTTGAAGAAAAAAAAATCTTTTTAAATATACTGAGCACGAATTTCCCTTCAGCGTTTTTTTGTATTTTTTATTTTTTGACAAACGTTTTGCGTTAAATAGAAACTAAAAGTTATTTTGGAATGAAATAATATAATTACATGAATCCAATGCGACTTTTCTTTTTAATGTATGTATGGGTAATCAGTATACACTTGCACTTTAACAAAAGCGAGCAAGTTTGTAGATCTTTTTATCTTCTTTAAAAAAAAACTCTCCTTAAACAAGAGCTGAATAGTTTATCTTTAAATATGAACGACTTAACACAATTCTTTCTAGTAGAGAGAAGGTCTCAGCACAGATTACCACGAACAAGAAATTTGATCCTTTAGTAGTTCTAATGTAGTGGCATCTTTCTTATTTTCCCCACCACTGCGCAATTTATGTTCGATACGTCGGACTACTAAATCAGTTCATGCTGAAGCCTTCTCTCTTCTAGGAGGTGTTGGTTAACATCAATCCAAAGTAATCACCATCGAGAAGTTAGATATCTATGCCACTTTAACAGTCAATTTTAACCCATCACCGCACACAATCATATTATTAAATAATTATCTGTAATATTATATAAATAATTAAATTAAGTTATTTATACATTACATTAAATTATTTATATAATAATCTGTAATATTATATAAAAAATTTAATGTAAAATTCATTGCATTTTTTTGGTAACTAATGCATTGCTGGACAATTGCTCAGGACGGATGATAATAGCAAACGAGAGCAATCAAGAAATTGAAGGTAGTAAAATATGTAAAGTAGCATAAGTGTGAGATACAATAAGACTTGTTTTGCGTTTTCAAACTTAGGGTTGTCGAACTGATTTGTCACATATGACAAGTGTTGATAAGAGATATAAGGGATTTGACGCTCACTAAGTGTTGTTGTTCAAAACGAGAAAGAATCGATTGACGAAATTGCAATTTTCGATAAGCCTTCCCGACGTAATTTAGATGATTTTGCGTGTTGCAGTATTATTAAGAGGATCGAAGACTGAAAAATAACAGATGTTGCCAAAGAGTCAGCCACCGTGTTGTTTCAAGGCTTTGAAAATCAGTTCAAGCAACTGGAAAGTGTAGCAGGCGTCACGGAGGAGGTCGCGATCCCTGCACGTCGCCTGCAGAGGGCAGGTACATAGTGTTATTAACAAAAAGCAGCGCAGTATAGCCAGTCAGGTTGCAAATCAGTTTCATGCTGTTACTGGAGAGCGAATCTCCCGAAACACCGCAGCCAGATGCTTGCAAGCAGGAGAACTATGTGTCCGCCGAGCTTTTGTGTGCATACCATTGCCCAGATGTCACCGTTGCGCCCATTTGCAATGGTGTCTACAGCATCGCTGTTGGAGCGAAGAGGACTGGACTTGCGTACTATTCTCGGAGGAGAGTAGATTAAGTCTCTCGTCTGATTGACGACACCAAATGATCTGGCGTGCGATTTGTATTGCGAATAGATGAGCAAACATACAGGAACGGGACTGATATCGTACATATAGTGTCATGGTATAGACTGGCATTATGATAAGTGACGCATTACGATAAAAACTGTGCTACTTAATTGTGAACTTAAAAGTATGACTGTAAACTTAAAAGCATTACGATAATAATTGTGACTATGACTGTCCAAGGCTGCATTAATGAGATTCTGCTGCCACATATTCATTTGTTTCGTGGCACTATCGGTGATAAATTTGTTATTATGGATGACAATGCAAAGCCCATTGTACAGCTCTAGTGCTACGTAAATGAACTACAACAACAACAACCACAACGTAGCATGTTATCGAAAAGTCGCTGGAAAGAACACGGAGCGAGAATATTCAACGTCTAGTGTGGTTATCCGGTTTTCTAGATTTGAATCCCATTGAAAACGTGTAAAATTCTTTGGAGAGGATTGTTGCTGATCGAGAATGCCCTGCAATAAACTAGGACGCCCTTATTCTTGCACTGACAGAGGAATGGGACGAATTACCCCAATAGCTGCCGAATATTGTTGAGGAAAGCATACCATGACGTCAGGAAACTCTCATTATTAATCAACTCCATCACTTAAGGATTTCAAGCGACCCACGTGATATTGTTTATTGTTGACCCCTGAATTCACACATAATCCCACTGTAAAAAATTTCGGTATTTAGTTACCACTATTTTGGAATTAAGGCAAACTAAATACGTTTCTCAGTCCAAATATGTAATAATCACGAAAAAAAGTTATATAAAATTGACAAAATAAGAATTGTTTGAAAAAGTTTATACGAATATGTTTAGAAAAAATGCTTGTTTTTTGAACCAAAAGTTTTTGCGATGAAGTCATTAATTGATTCTAATGGGACTAAAAGTATGTGTGGCTAGTTAATAAACAAAAAATTAATGAACAAATAAATAAAAAAACTATAACAAGTGAAAAAGTAAATAAAAATGTACCAACGTGCTCGGCAAAAAATTTTAGTTTACCTCAATCTCAAAAATGGTGGTAACTATACAATAACAATTTTTACAGTGTTCCTGTTAAAGTTTCAATTCTTGTTGAAATTAATAATATTTTTATGTTTTTTATCAAAATATTAAAATATTAGCAAAATGTTAAAATCTTTCAGAGAATTTACATCACAATAAAGGTGTAGAATTACGCCTTTATTGGGAATCACGTGAAAATTCTAACTTAAATTTGATGTTATCCTAACATGACTTTCTAATATTGAGGAAGTAGTTAAAATGTGAGCTGTCTATACATGTAACGAAGAAAAAGGCTATCATATTTTTATTTATTTGTGATCAGTCACTTTCTCACAATAAGAAATTTAGAGATTAGAAGTAAAAAAAAATATATACAAACTAACCTATCAGCTACATTCTGTATGACTTGTGGCTTCGTAAAGAGCTGGAATACATCATATATACTTTGAATTTTAATCTCACTCAGAAATGAACCTAACTTTCTTACAACGTCAATTAAAACACCTGATGAACCTATTAAGTTTTGAAGCCATAAGCCAGAGAAAAAGTCTCGCTCTTGAGATTCACGTATCTGAAAGAAAGAAACGTAATATAATTATTTTTTGTAGGGAAAATACAGTTTATTTAATTAGAATACAATCTGTTTGATTAGAATATTGTCTGTTAATTAGAATCAGTTAATTGGAACACAGTCTGTTAATTAGAATCAGTTAATTAGAATATAGTCTGTTACTGAAAATACAGTTTGTTTAATTAGAGAATGTCTATGGATTATGGAAATAAGTGTTTGAATTTTTCAATGTTTTGAAACAGACGTGAACTCCTGCCATCTAGTGAGATAATTTGTAAATACCGAGGAACAACTAAAATTAAGAGTTCATGAGCAGTCCATACCTTTCAGCTGCGAAACAGAATTGTATTTACGCTACAATAAGGGTAATTTTAACGCTATATAAGCTATCTATCTACACTATCTAGCCATTAATGACCGGACACCCCTTGAACGGCAGGTGGACTCGTCCTGGCGGCATAAATACGGACCCTGTGGTAGGGGAAAGACCATTCGCAAGCAGGCGACGGCCATACGAGCGTTAACAGTGAAAATGAGTGGACGGCGAGAGCTGAATGAGGCGGGAAGGGGCATGATTATAGGCGCCCAACGATTTGGTCATTCCATACGTGCCATCTCCAACAAGTTTCAGATACCACGGTCAACTGTTGGTGACATCGTGTTGAAATGGGAACGAGAGGGAGTGATAAAACCGCAGTCCCGACCCGGCAAGCCCAAAATAATGTCCGACAGGGATCGACGATCTCTTCAACGTGTAGTGAAGGCAAACCGACAAATGTCGTTGGACACTGTCGCTACCAACTTCCGGGCTTCATCTGGCAGTGTTGCCAGTACACGTACCATTCGTCGGGAGCTGATTGCACAAGGATTCCATGGACGAGCAGCAGCACATAAGCCAAACATCTCTCCATCAAACGCCCGCCACCGATTTCAGTGGTGCAGAGCACGTCGCCAGTGGACAGTAGAGCAATGGAAAAGCGTAATGTGGAGTGATGAGTCACGCTACGTGTTGTGGCACTCTGATGGACGGTTGTGAACCTGGCGAATGCCCGGAGAACGGTATCTACCGGAGTGCATTGTCCCCGCTGTGAATTTCGGCGGTGGAGGAATTATGGTGTGGTCCTGTTTCTCATGGTTTGGCCTTGGACCCTTGGTGTTAGTGCGTGGAACTCTGAACCAGAAGGGTATAGAGACATCCTGGACAATTCGGCTCTTCCCACCCTGTGGCAACAGTTAGGTAATGGCCCGTTTGTGTTTCAACACGACAACGCTGCCATTCATAAAGCACATGACATCACGGACTGGTTTGATGAAATGGGGGTCCAAGAGCTTGACTGGCCAGCCCAAAGTCCCGACATCAATCCAATTGAGCATCTCTGGGATGAGTTGGAGCGCCGGTTGAGGGCCAGACCACAACGCCCNTAGTCTGCGCGGACTACTTATAAAAGACCGTGTGGAGGCTTTTTGATGTAGGAGGTGATGCTTCTGCGCGGCCCAGGTGCTCAATTTTTTATAAATAAATATAGAAAGAGCATTCCATACCTTTCAGCTGCGAAACAGAATTGTGTTTATGCTAAAGTAAGGGCAATTTTAACGCTACATAAGCTATCCATCTATATTATTAGTTTCTGATTTCAAATAAATGGTACTTGAATAAAAAAAGTTATCAGCATAGTCTAGCCACCATAAGAACGCGTTTGACTTCCGGAGACTTTATTTCGATGTGGGAATGTCATCTTTCGACGCTTTTTGTAAAAATTTATCCTAGTGGTAGCGAAGTTTATGTTTTAATGAATTAGTTTTCATTCATTCAAACTTATTTTCCACTCCACTACGTATAAATGATTTAAGATTTCATATGCAACTCCCAGCTCTCTCGTGGTGAGGCTTTTAAATTGTTGGTCAAAATTACCAAAAATTCTGAAAGCTTTATTTTCAAATGTCTACCACTCGATAAAATATTTTTCAAAAAGCGTAAAAGTTGGCAGGTCAGCAATTGTGTTGAAGAATCGTTATTATACTAAAGCACCCTCTCCCCACTTTCAGTAAACTTTCCCTAAAACGTTGCTACGAGCTGTCATTTTTTTTTCGTAAAGAATTCATGCCATGATTTGCACTGTAATTGTCTTCTTGCAGTGACCAGACTATAAAGAGTGTTAATTTCCCTTTTACTAGAAAATATCCGAAACAAGTAAAAAAGCAATATTTACCTCAAAAACCATTTTATTAGCCATACGCACGATATTTCACTTATATTTAAAAAAAAATGTTTGTGTCAGTTTTCTTGAAAACGTCTTACTAGGGTTGCTTTAACACGTTGAATGCCATGGGGGTCACCGGTGACCGGCGAAGCCAAGATTATTAGAAACACATAATTCGCGTAAATTTCTAATTTTTTTAATATTATTATCGTTACTAAAATGGTTTGAAGAAATTAATGCAATATAGAACACACAAAAATAGTTTTATTTATATACACAGCGATGCCAACTTGCACCGGACAGCGAATAAATATTTTCAAGTAGTAGTTTATTAATTGTGATTTTTGGTTTAATAAATTCTATTTAGTAGATTTTTAGTCACCACTATTTCTAAACAATTCGTAGGCTCATATAATTCATCACTTTTCTAGATACGTCATTATTCAATTCCAATCTACCAGAAAGAACCACCCTAAAGATCACAATTCAAGATGAATGGGAAAAAGGCCGCTAACGGCCCCAGGCGCCCAGATAAATATTGATGAAGATACGCCATTACCATAATGTTGCTCATCACAAAATGTTTTTATACAATGTTTAAATTAATTTTCATGATATATGGGATATAGCCGCTGCACGGCCCAGGTGCCCAGTTTTTGGATAATAAAAGCAAAAAAAGATACGTCGTGCTTTTTGTAGCTACACCAATGTTGCTAAATTCAAAATGTTTTTACCACAATGTATTTAATTTCATGATGTATGGGATAGAAGCCGCTGCGCGACCCAGTTGCCCAGTTTTTTCTTAATAAAGCAAGCAAGACACGTCATGCTAAACCTTTTAAATTAGCTTGGCATTCAACGTGTTAAATTCCCTTTTTGCAGAAAATATCCAAAACAAGTAATATTTACCTCAAAAGCCATTTTATTAGCCATACGCGCGTTATTTCACTTATATTTCAATAAAAATGTTTGTGTTCGTTTTCTTGTAAACCTCTTACTAGGGTTGCTTTAATAGGTTATTGGAGATGGTCTCGGGTTTATCTCTATGATAATCAGAAGGTAATACTGCCGCATACAAGTACAGCAGTAGTCTAGTTTAGCGAGGAGGAAAATTAGTGATAGTAATTCTCTGGCCATATCACCAGACTCCCCAAACGTGCTTCGGTCTCCAAAACAATATTACTTTAGAATGGATTCGAAACCACTAAGGCTTGATCGAAGAAAGTGCAATGGAATAAAATATCCAAACCTGATATAGTTTGATTTAGCGCGACCTAAAAATTGCTTCAGTGAGATGGTAAATTTTTAAAAATATACAAACTTTGAAGTAATCACTGTTAAAACACGAACTAGAACTGATTAAAAACGCTACTGAAAATATTAATGCATGAACTAAAACATAATTAAAATACAAATGTGTTTGAAAAAAACTACCAATACTATCGTTAAGAACTTAACAGCTTTTTAATAGTCTTAAACATAACAGTTCTACCAAATAAAAAGTATTGAGTACTGCGTATAGTAAAGTGCGGCGCGCTCTCTGCTTATCGCTTATAACCAAATAATAAACATCATACTTAATAACAAATCAAAAACTGAAAAACATTGGTGGCGTAACTAGATAACTTAAAAAATACAACAATAACGAAGGCTCAACTAGATCACCCATCGTTTTGTAATTTATTATCGTTTTCAAATTCCAGAAAAATAAATGATCTAGTTCATCGCTTTTAACATCCACATGTACTAAAAAGATTTTCAGTTCCTTTATAGTGATGCTATTTTGGGTTGAATAGTACAAGAAATAAATACACCGGCCCATGCCATGGTAGGTAAAGTCTCAAATCACCATACAATCTGGGTGACTAATAATTAAGTATTCAATAGACTATGGTAAAATTGGAAATTGATCTAACTTACTTTATTTTTTATATCTTCTTTCTCTAAATAACTAAGAACCTTTTCGATGTTGTCGCTCTTGCACAATATTTCCTTCATTTTGGATCGTGAGTACAAAGTTGCAGACGATGGGTAAAACGATCCTGAATATCTTTGTTTCTTGCAAATTTTATTCCAAAACATTTCCGCAGAGAAACCTTGCCGCCTCAGCTGAAAATAAATGAAAAATTACGTTTATGGACTCTTTTACTGATGCAAAAGACATATACTTCAGATCTTTGCGGATGTTGATAGTTGTTTATAATCGTTGCTTCAAGTTAATTATAGTTTTTTGATAATGAATTCTAATATATAACATGAAAAATAAATTCTGCTTTCATTTTCAGGAAAAATAAAAAGTTACAATTTCAATACCTTTTGATGTGTTCATTGAGTTTTTAAGTTCTTAGATGCAATTTCCATGGTTTGAAGGTCCCATATAAGATTTTACAACTAATTAGTAGTGGCGACAGTAAATACGTACCAAAAACGATCAAATACGTAAGATTAAAAAATGCTCATTTTGGGACGCAACTTTTCACCCCTACGATTAAGAGGACGTCGTACGGGGGGGGGGGACTTTTCATCGCAAATTCTATTTTCCCTCCATGACTAATTGAAAATTTAAAGTACAGAACAATTTAGTTTTAGCAAGTCTAGAGTAAGTCATAAAGTTTGAGTTGTTGAAATTTTTTTTTAAAATATCAAAATGCAAGCCAATTATTGGGAGGGAACTTCTCTATTGCGTTATCTTCTCATAATTTAATTTCATTTTGATATTTCGAAAATTTCTTTCCAGAATTCGAAATTTTATGGCTTACTCTAGGTTTATCTTATCTCGCCTTTTTACATACTATACATTTCAAATTAATTATGGAGGTGAAAAAGAATTTACGATGAAAAGTTTCTTCCCTGTTATGGCGGTCTTCTTAAGGAAGGACACAATCTGGATGATATCATGTCGGTAGAAATAGGACTATATCATTTATGAGACTATATAATGCTATATCATGAGACTATATAGTTTTTATAACTCCATGCAGGGCCTCATTAAGGATTTCAAATTATTAGCCAACGGAAAATTAATCAAATATCAAAAGTACTATTAGTCCAATTTCAAAATTCTTAGCCAAAGGTAAATCTTAAAAATTTTTTATGATTGATTTTTTTTCCGTAGATAACTTTAAATAAAAATACAAATTTATTAAAAATTAAATTATTTTGCAAATTATTAGAGCAGTAAATGTAAGGATGAATCTGAAACAACATTATGTTATTGCCACGATATTGCCACGATATTGTCACGTTATTGTATATGTTATTGTCACGTGAAAGCATATTTTCTGTATAAATTTTTGGATAATAATATGTATCTTGCTTCCACTTAATTACTGTAATCGAATAAAAAAATACAGGGTTTGTTAAAAAAAAATTCTTTTTCACTGGTTTCTGTTCAAAGATTAAGGGGAAAAATATTTTTATTTTCGATAGAAAAAAACCATTCGCCAATACTTTCTCCAAACCATTCGCCGAATTTACGATTTTATCACATTTAACAATGAGGCGAATGCTTAGAGTGGGCTCTGCTCCATGGATGATATAGTCTCAATAGTTGAAGCAGGGAATCTGTCTGTAAACCTTGAACTTTGTTGATGCAGCTTTTAGAGTCGTGTCGTCTCAGGGGATAGAGCATTTGCCTTCTAATGAGGTGAACCTAGTTCGAATCCCAGCGATGCCTGATCGATACAAATTCCACACCCGGCTTGCAACGTCTACAGTGCTGACGTAAAATATCCTCAGTGGTACACGGATCATTGGTTAGAGTCCCCTTACAGTCAGGAAAACAGCGGGAGATTTTCGTGGTTATCCTTTCCATGTAACGCTAATGTGCGTTAGTTCCATCAAAAAGTCTACTTGGTCGAAGAGTTCACTTGTCTTCTGGATTAGGTTCAAAATTATAAAGCTACAGAGTTGAACATTGGTAGTAAATCCAAAATTGGGTCGGTTGTTCAACAACGGTTACAAAATCAAATAAAATGCTGTTTTTAATTTTTACATATTTTCTCTGTGTTTGAAATTAGGAATCCTGCATATTAGAATCAGCCATTTACAATTCAACAGCATAAAATAAGTTTGTATTTTCTTTTCTGCAAGAAATGCGGTGAAATTTTATTACCACTCTTAACTTTCGGTATAAATTTTAATAAATAAAAATTTGAGTGAATTTTAAAGTTTAATTTACTTACCAAGTTAAAATTAATCGCTGTGTCTTTAAGGGCATCCATTAGTTCTTGGTCTAATTCATCTGGAGACGAGTAAGATGTTTGATTCTGTACTAGGTCAGGTATCTTAAAGTATGCTGCAAAATAGAAGTTTATAATTCAAATTTCGATTATCCCTTTACAAATGAAAAATGCTTTAAACCAGGGACCGCGGGTGAGGGGCTAAGATAACAATTTATCACTATATTTTTCGGCAGTTAAAATTACAATTAACGCGCCGAATGCCACGCTAATTTTACATGGCTTACCATCTGGCCAAATGGTAAACAACTACAAACTAAATTTGCAAATATCAGGCGGATTTTGTTATTTTTTAAGAGGTTTCAGTATGACATCTCTGAAGAATCATTTAGAAATAGTGGTGGATAAAAATCTACTAAATTGAATTTATTAAACGAGGAATCACAATTAATAAACTACCACTTGAAAATATTTATTCACTGTCCGGTGCAAGTTGGTATCTCTGTGTGTATAGATAAAACTATTTTTGTGTATTCTATTTTACATTAATTTTATCAAACCATTTTAGTAACGATAATAATATAAAAAAATTAAAAATTTACTCGAATTATGTGTTACCAATGATCTTGACTTCACCGGTGACTCTCGTGGTGCTACGAACAAACTCAGTGCCAGTCATCAGTGACCCCCATGGCATTCAACGTGTTAAAAAAAAGAAACTTTTTTGTGTCTGAATTCTGAACAAAAATGTCAATATCAAGCGAATTTCAACATTTCCATGGTGAAAACTTCTCTACCATATCAGCCATGACTCCCACTCCAGCCAACGCCTCCTATAACTGAAAGCCTCCACACGGTTTTTTGTAGGTAGTCCGAACAGAACACTATGAAGGTAAATCTATTTATGAAAGAACCATTTAATATGAAATCTATTAAAAATTAGAAAGTGGTAGCAAATAAATGTCTAAAAATTCGTTTAATTTATGAATATAATTGCTTTGCTTTATTTACTTGTCAACCACTACAGATTCAATTCTCATATATATATGATAAATTTTACTCCAGTACTTTTAAAATAGAATTTGGGTTCATGCGCACAAGTGGTTCGCTTTTTAAATAATCTGCGCAGACTACTTATAAGAAACCGTATGGAGGCTTTCTGATATAGGAGGTGATGCTCCAGCAGAGGAAATAAACGTCCTAATTGCGGACCGATGGTAAAATTCTTGGTTTCAAACATAATAAAAACAACAACAGTGAAGCAAAATTAAAAAAATTTACCTTTAAATGAGTGATAAATAATCTAAAGGTAAGAAATTTCTTTTTTTAATTTTATTTTAATTTTAAAACAATTGGATTCTTTAATTTGAAATTTAAGCTTCGATTTTTTTTTCGCTCATGGGCTGTACAAAAGAACAACTTTAAATACTCATATCTTGCGTAGTTTTAAGAGAACGTTTTTTAAATTTCAATACGAAATTTTTATATTTGATTTTAAATTGCTCCGAAAATTTTGTTTAATTTTACTGTATCTTTTTAAAATTATGGCAACAAAAAAACAAAAGACAATTTTCATTTTATTTTACAAAAATGTCCATATTTATATAAATATTTAAGCTGGAATTAAGAAATTTTATGCAGTTGTTGCAAATAACAATAAAAATAATTGATACAAGTTACAAGTTTATTGCTCGTTTTTCTGGCATAGGGTGTTCAAATATACTAGTTTTCTTTCGCAATTTATTGTCGGCCCCTCAAACCTCTGAAAGCTTTAAATTTTATCGCAAAGTATGAAAAATCACGAAATAAGTTACAAGATAATCCTCTGATTATTTCTTGAGAAATTTAAAAAAAATGTCAAAAAATGAAAGTGTTTCTTCCATTACTTTAGGGTAGACTGAATAAGTGCAAATTTGAAAAATTATTGCTTGGAAGTGAGCAGAGTTTGGAAAATTTTACCTTTAACGCAGAGAAAGCCACTGATGTTTCATGCTGTATTTCATAACCATAAATTATAGAAATTCTAAACAAAAAATTTTTTTTTACTTATTTTGATCTAAATTAAGACTTCCTCTGTCTCAATTTAGTAACTACTTTTGAATACTTTTGCACTGATTATTGACACTGATGATTTTATGATTTTGTTTGAAGATTATTAAAAAACTTCAGGGTGCTATGATATCATTCAACAACATTTACTTTCAAAGCATTCGGTCCTTTCCTCCTTAACCATCACCTCCTACATCAAAAAGCCTCCACACGGTCTTTTATAAGTAGTCCGCGCAGACTGTTTAAAAAGTGAACCAGTTGTGCGCATGAACCCAAAACCTTTTATAAAAGTAATTGAGAGAAATTTATCTTATATATTTGAGAATTGAATCTGTAGTGGTTGACAAGTGAATAAGGCAAACCAATAATATTCATAAATAAAATAAATTTTTAGTCATATATTTGTTACCACTTTCTTATTTTAACTAGATTTTGTATTAAGTGACTCGTTCGGAAAGTGGATATCCTTCACAGTGGTTTGATCGGACTACCTATAAAAAAACTGAGTAGAGGCTTAACACGTTCCGCCGGGGTGCTAGATTGTCTCATCTTGGCAGCGCACCGGAGTAAAAACTGCTAACAATAAATTTCATTTTTTAGTTTTTTTCCGAGAATAATAAAAATCCATAACTACCAATTATTTTTAACGGATGCAATTTTTATATTGAATTGCTTCTTCGCCTTAATAAATTACTTTACAGTGAATTGGTATTGTTTAGAATAGATTAACTCCTCCCGAATATTATCTAATATTGAAATAGTTCTTCTACCAGTATTTTCTCTTTTCCCGTACCAGTATTTTCACTTTTCTAGGCGTGAACGTGTTAAACCAAACCGAATTAATTTTTAAAAGTTAGGGTTCGCAATCTCTTTAATCCACGTCCTATTTTGTAAGGGCTCATTCACCAGAAAAACTATTTTTCTTCAAAACTATTTTATGGTATACCGCGTCATATTCAGCATAATTGTGCAGGTGTTAAATCTGTTTAGTTGTTGTGTTTACCTGGCAAATGTTGAGATATCTTTTTAAGAAGCTGCTGCTTAATTTCTTTAAATTGTCCAGTTGGTGTACCAAGGGACATCATAAACTTTGCTGCCTTCTGCATAATGTTTGCATGTCTGAAATAAAGCAGACAATTAATAAATAACTAAGTAAAGTTTTCTACAGGTGATATCAATTAATTATGTACACTTAGAAATGAGTATAAAGGGTGGTTAAAATCAAAATGACCGTTCTCTGAGGCAACTAGCTTCGGTTCTACTAAATGCATGCAAATATAGGTAATATAGATCATGGGGCCAAAGTTTTCCGTCAAAACAGTTTGAAATTTCGTTAATAAATGCTAAATTCACATGTAAATAACATTGGAGTTCAATATCTATATATTTTTTCTGTTCCATGAGATCTTTTGTGTGGATATTTTTGAGCTTTTGATACCAAATCTGCAATATGTTTCCCTCCACCAGCTACAGTTTTTATGTGATTCAATAATATATTCTTAACCAGGATTTTATAAAATTTGCTTAAGTTATACTAAGCGTCCTTACTTCCCTGTTACGTAGGGAGTTGGTTGGACGAAGGCGATAATACACTTCAAATTATAAATGTGATACGTTATGGTCACATGTTTTTGGTCTTAAGTTTTACCTTCAAAAGAGCAGACAAGTGTATATGTATGTATATAAAGCTATATGTTCTTTAAAAACTTATACATTCAGACAAAAATTTTTTTAAGTATTTAAAAATGCCTCTAGCATTCCGAATACAGTGCCTGCCTTCTTATGAGAAGGCTCAAGTTTGAAATTCGAACTGACCATTTCATATACTGCTCCCGGTTCCCTACAATCATAGTATCAAAAATATCCCAAAGGTAGACGGATCATTGGTTATTCGATTTCGAGCAAACAAATGAGAATTTTTCGTTGTTTTCCTCTCTATGTACCAGGAATTCAGGCCCAGTTTCACTCATTTGTGATTGTGTACTAATGCTTGATCAAAAAGTGTCCTTGTATTCTGGGTTGGGTTCAGAATTGCTACGATACAACCCCAAATCTTATATGGATCAGCTTGCTTAACGCTGGTAAGGAAATAAAATAACATCTATTCATACGATTTATCCTGAGTACCATACCCTATGAGAAATATCAATCACATGACTCAATCAACAGCCATATTTATTGAACACGATAATATTGGGATCATTATCGTACCGATATATATCGAATACAATACCTAACTCACTATAAGCATCGCTTGGCATATCTATTGACATATTTTTATACTTAATGTAAGACATACTCGTAACTGCTGTTAAGGCTCTATAATTCCGTGATTGATGTCGTAATTGCGACTCAGCATTGCGCACAGGTCGCTTTTATTTCTCAAACAAGCTGATCCGTCACCATGGCAACTTTGTACTAGAGTTAGAGACATCGTTGTTCTTTTTTAATAATTGCTCATTGATTTTTTATATTTTTTTAATAGCTAGTGAATTGTTTTTCTATTGGTTCACAAAAATATTGTTCCGAGCAACAGAAAAGGATAAGTTTAATTAAAAAATATCGTGATACATCGTAAAATATCGATATTTTTAAAAATTCCGATATCACCCAGCAGGAGTTTGATAACAAGTCAGGAGATTTTTAAAATTTAAAAGAATTTTCCAATTAAAATTCAAACAAATGTTTTACCTACGTTTCTATACTCTGTAGCAATACGCTTTGCTTCATATTTTGTAAACAATTTTTTATATTTTGAACGTCAGACTCAGACAGATCCATAGAAATTCTCAAATAAAAGTTTTCCAAGTCATCCACTAAGGGAAGTAACCAGTTCCAAGAATGCTTGCATCGTTCATCTTTTGCCGCTTCCTCTGTGAACTAATAAAATACATAGACAATAAATATGATATTAATTTGAACATATTTCACGCATCTTTTTTTTTCAAGCTGTGGCAAAAATTACGCTTTTTTAATTGTTTTTAATTTAGAAAATGACTAAAGATTTTCCTCTCAAAAAGCATAAAAATTTCAAACTTTTACACGAGACGTGCAGTTGATGAAAAAGTACTGTAATAAAATTGTATTAAAATGAGAACACTAGGGAACAAGTTTTACCCATTGGCAAAATGGGTGTTGTTTTGGGTTTGACGGCGTGCGCACCTTATTTGTACGTCATCACACTTTTCAACTGTATTCAAGCGTAGTAGTAAGCAGAGCGCATGCGTTGTCATTGCATGCGTTGCTATGGCGACCGCTTCTGTTTGATAATCTTTTTAGAATTCTCTTTCTCACTTCTAATTTTGTTATGCATCAAGTTGGTGAGTTTATTTTTGAGATATGGGACCAGAGAGATCCCATAAATACTCCTTGAGTTGTGAATAAAAGAGAATTTCATCATTTGAACGATATTTTTGTTTTCTTATTGTTTTAATTAGGAATCAGAAATTCTATTCTAAAGTTCAAACTGGATCGTTTTCTATGCTAATTCAAGTGAATATCACAAATAAAGAGCCAAGTAAATTGCCAAATTTTTCCTTCTGTTTAGTTTTATTATTTTTTCTTCTGTAGCATGAGATTTTTGAACGGATCTTGGATATTTTCACATCAGTGATATTAAATCTGCAATCGACTTCTCTCTACAGTTTTTATACAATTTCATATTTACTCGAGTGAATACTAAATGTCCCTATTTCTCTACAACATAGAGAATGTTTCTTAAACACGACAGAGAGCTGAAGTTATGTCACATCTTATATTTAGAATACGCAGTTTGAGTTCGCACTTGCTAATGTCCGGCCTGACATTAAATTTTGAATGGAAACTTGCTGATCCAGATAGGGTTAAAAAAGGGTAGTTGCAATACTTGCACTTTAAATTACATAAAGCTTAAAAAAAGAGTTCTTTAACTCGTCACAGCAAATTAATAATTCAAACATTAGAAAAGGTTAGTGGATGAATCAGGTAAGTGACATTTTCAGAGTGATCAATATGAGGGTAGGAACAAAACAAGTGGTATCTGAACTATTTTATAACGGATTTATTAGAGGGAGGGGCTTATAATTCCTTTCCTTATTTTATTTATGATTATTTAATTTAAAACAAAAATCAGATAAGTATACTCTAAACTGTAATGTATATTAGTTTTACTAAAATCGAAGTGAAGGCAAAGACAATTTTGTTACATTAAACATGCTCGCATTGATGCGAAAACTTAGTATTATTTGCCCTGATTAATAAATACTCCTGAAAAATTTTTTTTTTCAAAGAGGACAACTAGTAAATAATTCAAAAGGTCAACACCGAGGTCGATGAAGCTGAGAACAGAATTCATATCGTCCAGCCATTGATAAGATTCGAACCTGGAAGCTAGCAACAATCAGAAGACAGGGCCCTATCCCTTGAACCAACGCCTCCTATAACTGAAAGCCTCTACACGGTTTTTTATACGCAGATCAGACCACTATGAAGGTAAACCAGTTAACGAAAGAGCCATTTAATAGAAAATCTAATAAAATTAGAAAGTGGTAGTAAATATATGCCTAAAAATTTTTTAATTTATGAATATGATTGGTTTGTCCTATTTACTTGTCAACCACTACAGATTCAATTCTCAAATATGCATGATAAATTTCTCTCAAGTACTTTTAAAATAACCTCCAATGCATTCGACAGATCATCAGCTACGCAGCCCCTGCATGGAGCACAACCACTGTTACTCAAAAAAAAGAAACTGGAGATTACTCAAAATAAATTCCTCAGATATATCACTGGAGCCCCCAGATCCATGAGAATGAAAGATCTAAGACGAAAGTTAAAAATCAACAAAATAGATGAGCACATAGCTGAACTATGTGCAAGTTTCTTCAGAGATGCACTCTCTTGTCATACGTGCAGTTACTTTAAAAATTTTGATTTTGAGCTCATCAAAGACAACATAAAATATAGCCCGACAACCGCCTTTTTCCTGTCCGACGGAGTTTTGTCCCGTAAATTTTGTATATAGCTGTAAATACTTGTAAATAATTTTGCGCATTTATTATGTATTTCTCCTTTTCTCTAAGGCTATGTGGCTACTGTGCACCTGAGAAGCTCGGGGGTAATACCTCGAATTGAGGCGAGGCAGTCTGCCACAAAACCTCTTCTCTCTCTTAAACTTGTTTGTTCAATCACACTACTTCATTTTAATTTTCTCTCAGTAAAAGATACTGAACCCCAACTTTCACCTCTCAGTTGCGCTTCGGTGATTTATTATTTATTTCCACTCAGATAAATTAGTTAGAGCCCTTAGCGGGGCTGATGCTAAGATAACCATCACATATGAGTATGAGTACTTTTAAAATAGAATTTGGCTTCATGCGCATAACTGGTTCACTTTTTAAATAATCTGAGTAGACTACTAATAAAATCCCGCGTGGAGGCTTTCTGATGGAGGAGGTGATGCCTGAACCAACACGGCTACTACTAATTTATGAAAAGTTTCGCAGAAAGCGAAGCAGTTGGCATCTCTAAAATTATTAGTTTACACCCACTTGAATATTTTTGACGGAATATTGAAAATCCTATTATTCAAATTTTGGTTGTGTGGAAAATTGCACTCTGAAAAAAAAAGTGTAAAATTTGATGAAATCAGGACGCGACAACAGACCAGATGATATTCATCCTCATCAATAATCTATATCTAATTTTCGTATTGTAATTATTATTATTAATGAGCAGACATTGACTAAGAGTTAAGAGGTAGCTAAACGACCTTACTTGCTGTATCGTATTCTTTAAGCCTGAGGAATGAGAGAACCATCTATAAAAGCTGCTGATGTTTTTATTTAGTAGACCGCATGTTAAGAATTCTGCATCTACAAGAAAAAAATATAATATATAACATAAAAAAAAAAATTATTTGCTGAAAGATGTTTTTCGCATGAAATTTTCTTCAGATAAAAGAATTTTATAATTTTGTGCATTTTCATTTTCGCTGAAAAAGTTCTCGAGATATGGTGAAATACACAAAAAGTAAAATTAGCATTAAGAGGTCCAAATTTTGTATCGCTCTCCTGATCAAACTATAGGGATCATATTTCTCAGGTTGCAGCTATTACCTATATTTTGGGGATCAGTAATCCAAACCCATCGGAAAAAAAGTATGTTTATTGAGAGAGAGTAAGTTTTTGTGTCTGATTTCGCAACTTAAAGAAAATCGTCTGCACTAATTAATTAGCATATAGGAGGTCACCCCCTCTAAGCATTACGATTGAGTCATAGAACGCGAAGATCCGATTGTTATATCAAAGGTTATTCAGGGTGATCCATTTATTTATTTATTTGCGCACTGTACAATTAATTTATTCTACAAAGTGGTGACTTTTGATGTCACCTTATAGGTGTGACATAGATATGACAGTGAAGTGCAAAAGGTTAAAATTATTTTGCATACAATTTTTATTTGAATAATATAGAACTAGAGCAACTATTTTAAGATATGAAATTATTAGAATTTTAAATTGCTAACAATAAAAGTGAATTTACTTACCAGGAATAGATCTGAGCAGTTTGTGAGTTGAATTCTGTATAGCATGTTGTTTAGTTCTTGTAAAGCAACCAATACCTGGTCTAGAAGAGAAGCATAATGTCATTTTAAGTTATACACAGTTACTTCAGATAAAAAACATTTAAATCCATACCATAAATAAATAGAATAAGTAATATTCGAAATTACTATTAGCACTGGTAAGCTCGGTGGGAGGGCTTTATTATGGGGAGGCAATTTCAAATAATATGAAATCTGAACTTTATCGATATTTTCTCTAATCGTAATAAAAGTTTTACTTTAAAAAATTTAATTTATTTCCTGTGCTTTGTAAAAAAAGTATTTTTCAGTGGCAATGAAGTTAAAATTATTTTTAGTAAAGTATTTTTCTTTTTTAGTAATTTAGTTCACTACCAATTTTTATTCTATTTTTTACTTTATAGCCGTCGTTGAAGCTGACTCAAACTTGGATTGACGACTACTAATGTTCATTCGTTCGTTCGTTGTTTTAGAACTGGGCATCTGAGGCCTAAATGGCCCTTAACTAATGTTCATGCATGGCTGAAAGCCCTTATATAGCAAGACGGAAAATTGCAAAAACTGGTACGAAAGAAATTTCATTTTAGCAATTTTTTAGGAACAAATAAAATATCTGCAACTATCAAGATTTCTTAGTCTATAAATAAAACTAATCATTTTTCAAGGATAAAATAGATATTGTTGAATAGTTTTAAAAAGAATAAGTTAACTCCTCCCGAAAACTGTTCATAACTGAAATGGTCTTACTACCAGCCTTTCCTCTTTTCCGTCTCGCTTTCAACCCTGGTAGCCTGGTAATTTTGAACCCAATCTAGAAGACAGGGGAACTCCTGTATCAAGTATTGGGAGAAATTTGCGTTCATGGAGGACTTTTTGATGAAACTAACCCGCATTTGCGTTACATGGAGAGGAAAACCTCTCATGGTTTGCCAGACAGCAAGGAGACTCTAACCCATGATCCGCCTACCACTGAGGATATTTTACGCTGTCACTGTGTTCGGTGAGAGCCGGATGCGGAATTCGCATCGACCAGCCATTGCTGGGATTCGAACCCGGTTCACTTAATTGGAAAGCGAGTGCTCTACCCTCTGGGCCATCACGGCTCTTAAAGAATTGTCTGAGTTAAATGAATTGATTATTTTAAGCCGTTTTGTACTGCATTAATATCGGTTCAAGGAGTTGATTTATGCTTCCAATCGACTCTGAGTCGTTTTCCTACACTTTAACATTGCATTTGATTCATTGAATTGTTTAAATGATTCTTAGAGTTGGTTATTCGATTCATTTGAGCTGTTTCATATCTTTAAAGATAAAAAAGAACTGTTTGGTTAAACGAATCGATTCCTTGCAACTGTATCTTATCTTCTAACATAAAGGGGTGCGTACCGTGAAGCACCTGAGCAACCACGGCTCAAACAGTAAAAAAATTTGAATGTTATTCTCCCAACCAATTTAATTAAAACTTTTGCAGAAAGCGGAGCAGTTGGCACCACTGGATAGTAATTCGACAGGAAAGTTCTGTCTGCGAAAGAGAACACATCTCATTCTATTCTACAAGGATGGAGAAAGTGCCTTAAAAAAGTGGTAAGGCGTTTATCCTTAAATGTTTATATCAGACTCAGCACTTTGTTCGATCGGATACGTTCGTTACAAGTTTGAATAGGTATGTTCAGACGCTTTTGCGCCTTATATGTAAGGCTCCTATACTATCAGAGCTGACCTATCAAACAATATTGGAGCAAACAAGTATTTTAGTATTCGTTATGTTATTACAGAGATGCCAACTGCTGCGGACACGCCAAAGCAATTTAAAAAACGGAAAATAACTACTAGTAAATTTCGCAAATAGTTGACAATATTTGCTTGCTATTAAAAATGCAAAGCATGAGATAGTACTAAAAAGTGGTGAATTATATAAGCCTACGCATTGTTTAGAAATAGTGGTGGATTAAAATCTACTAAATCGAACTTATTAAACCAAGAATTACAATTAACAAACTACCACTTGAAAATATTTGTTCGCTGTGCTTATGTTAGCTCTTTGCTCAAACAATAAATGATAAGTCGGCCTGTCTAATTCAGGGCTCTACTTATATGCTGTGTCTCTTTACCTGGGAAAAAATCATCAAGTTAAAGGGTAAATACCCTACTACCTTCTTTTATAAAATAACATTTTGCATTGCTGTAAATGTAAGTGGGTGTTTTTCCAGATAAACTTTTCAGTAAACCTAATATTTAAAGATTATAAATCTGGTATGTTCAGTTTACGCTAACGTTTGAGTTTGGGTAATAATTTAAAAATGAACACCTGATAGCTTTAAAAACGTGGTCAAATCATCCAGTTAATAACAAGAACTTGTTTTATACTATAATATAGAAAATAAAAATGACACAACTGTTTGTGAGAACTTACAAAATGTTTCTAATTTATAAGAGAGGGTATTCGTAATTGGCATGGAAGCATGCCATTTTCATAAGAAGTACACAAGATGATTATAAAAACCGAACAAAACCTAACAGTCACGGATAATTGTTACTAACTTCTAACAGCATAGCTGCCAACTCTTCCGGTTTTCCTGGAAGATTTTATTTTCATAGCGAAATTCATGCTATTTCACTAAAATTTTTGAATTATAATAATAATTTTAAAATCAGTTTGACCACCACTACACATAAATAATTACAACAAATATATAAAAGCATATGAGTCGTTACGATAGCAAATTTCAACCAATTTAAAATATAAATATATTTTTGAGGAAGAAAGTTTTTCGGCAATTGTTATACTACCACATGGAAAATCCATTCTCGAAAAAAGTGAATGTTGGCAGGTATGTAACAGTNACTTCAATTTTAAGCAAACAAATACGTTGCATTTGAAAAAACTTAAGTTGACAACCATGATAGTAACGCATATTGATATATGTGCTTCATTTTTGTAAGAATAGTGGTGATCAAAATCATTTAAAAATTAAGTTCATAAAAGAGAAAAAAGTATATATTTACTACCACTTTAAATATGAAAATGAAATCTTCCGGAAAATCCGGAAGAATTGGCAGGTATGCGTTGCGATAGTGAATTTCTATCAAATGAAAATTTAAATGCAGAGATGCCAACTTGCTCCGGACAGCAAATATATATTTTAATGTGGTAGTTGATCAATTGTGATTCTTGGTTTAATAAATTCAATTTAGTAGATTTTCATCCACCACTATTTCTAAATAATTCGTAGGCTTATATAATTCACCACGTTATAATACTTAAGTCATGTTATACCGTTTAAAAAGCAATAAAAAATAGTCAAATATTTGCAAAACTTACTTTGAAGTTATTTACCGTTTTTTTAATTATTTAGGAGCGTCCGGAGCAGTTGGCATCTCTGTAAATATATTTTTGAGGAAGAAAGTTTTTCGGTAATTGTTATACTACCACATGGAAAATCCATTCTCGAAAAGAGTGAATGTTGGCAGGTATGTAACAGTTCTAAAAATAACGTTTTTTTTTCTTTTCTTTTTGCTTAACAGCCTTATTTTACAGGACAGAAGAGCCTTTTAAGATTAGCTTTAAGTCCTGGAATAACTCATAAATTTTATTGAGCAAAAAGTATATCTGGTTTTGGATTATGGCAAATTAGATCTGAATGCCTTTTTTCGAACCCAACCCAATTAAACATTGTATTTTGTTGATTTTATTAGCTATCTGCTGTTGACTCTTGTATCTGAGGACGAAAACTCTATATGAAATCTTTACAACTTCTAGCAAAGTACCACTTATTTCACTTTGCTTTTGTTATAACTGTATGTTTCAAAAATATATTTTATTTTTTTGAATCGGTGAAGAATTGACTTGAATGAAGAACTGAGTATCTGATGATACTAGCAGTCTTTTTTCATTCATAATGATCTTGCTAGACCTGTCAGACTTATTATCGTTAAAAATCGTTGAATACTACGACCTGAAAGTTTATATATATATACAAAGGCGAAAAAGAGAAAAAAAACTAGTTCGAAAATCATTTCATTATAGGTTGTTTTTGGGAAGATTAAAAAATCTATCCACCGAAAAAATTTTCAATAGTTAAAATAAATGTATAGGACTGTTTTTTTCTAAGAAAAATAAATAATGATGAATACTTTAAAATTTAGAATAGTAAGAACTTATGTTACATAAATTAGTTCTCAATGAAATGCTTTTTTTTTCCATATGACCACCCGATTAACACTCGTCTTTCAGGTATCAATAGAGCAGATTTGTTGAGTGCTCTCTCAGGAGCACCATATTAGGTGAACCAACGTTGCTCAAATAATAAGGGCAGATAGTACTGAAAGAACAGTGAAAGAACTGAATAAAGAACTGTGTACGAATCCTTGTTCAGACCAGTAGAAATATAAAACTCATAGCTTTTAAACGTATAGCAACTACTATTCTTTAAACAAGGAGGTAAAGTATGTCACTTCACTTAGAATGCGCTGTTTAAGGTCGCACTATGTCCTATCTGATTGAAATTTTCAATTGAAATTTGTTGTTCTGGAGAAATGTTAAAAGAATTTTTTTAAGAGAGCAATTGAAGGATTTATCACATTATAGTGATAAGTTTCGCATTTTCCTAGGCTATATCTTTATGGCTAACTGTTCCATGGTATTGTTTATAGCATTTCTAATAAATTACAGCGTAAATTACACTGACATCTCTTCACCAAAAAACGTTCCCAGAAATACTTTCCTGGACTGTTTGAAAAATATGGCTCATCATTATATTGGCCAAGCCCTTGAACGGACAACTAGATAAATTTAAATTTTGAGACGTAGCTAAGTTAATTATGTTGACCGATCATAAAACTAAAGCGTAAAATATCCTCATAAGGTTCTCTTTTTTGCTTGAACATAAACAAAAATCGGTTTTGAATCGTATTGAAAGGTATTACCTGTCTGAAACATACGCAAAGCAGAGTTTGCTACGTCATAGAACCGGTTGAAACTCTTTCCTAGTTTCGGAGATTATCTTACTTATGAGGCAAACATAAACAATCAAACACAAACAGTTAAGCGGTTCCACCTCGTTCGTGTTGTGTACTGATATTGATAAAGAATATTGTATACTCACATGGTAAGATTCATCCCACTTTCATCTAAATTCCTTATCACTGATTTTAAGAGGGAAAAATAAAATTGCGGTGATTGAACACTTGACACGTCATTCAAGTGTATTCCAGATTTTAAAATGTTTTCGATAGACGTCCACATGTCTTCCTTTCTTTCTTTGAAATAGTCTTCACGCGTCTGGTTTTTGATGTCCTCAGACAGTAATTCATCAATCTGCAAGGAACGTAAAAAAAACCGTATCAATATTTGAAGTGCTTGAAAAAATAAACAATTTTTTAGAATTTTTGACAAAACAATTTGAATATTTAATTCTATCCATTCCCCCGAAGTATAAATACACTTACTGAAAAAGGAGTTTAAAATTGAACCTTAAAGTTATCACCTTGAGCAGTAATAACGCCTAAGTTTTCTGCAATGAAGTGTTAAATTGAATGATGTTTTCATTTAACTTGAACTATAGTATCTATCGTATAGGGTTGGGCAAAATTATGGAAACACTTCTTTGCTTACTCTCTTTTCTTTAGAATCAAATAATTTGGACGAATTTACGTGACAAAATTGCTGGCATAAACATGCTTGAAGCTTTTAGAAATGATGTCACTTTTATCCAAGCAAAGTTTGGATCGACAAAAATGAGTGATGTCATATTGTTAGCTTTAATATTTAAATCTTTGAAATAACTAAATAGGATTGCAATATTTATGCTAGAATGTTTTTCTTTTTCTATAATGGTATTGAAAAAGGAAAAATAGTTGTTAATTTTATGCACTCATTTTGGTCCATGCAACCTTTGCGTAGGTAAAAACGACATTATTTCCAAGATCTTCAAAAATGAAAAGAGCTTCGTTCAAATTGGGTCAACTGTTTTACCATGTAAAATCTTCTAAAATATTTGCAGGTAAAGAAAAGATTGTTTACATACAGTTACTATAGAAGCGTACTAATTTTGTCCAACCCCAGTGTGCTATAATGCATGTTATTGAGGTTCAACAACTAATAGTATCTTATTTCTTTTTATAACTGGCGTTGAACAATTAACCTAGTTTTGATTCTGCGGCAACGTAGTCTTTGAATTAATCCAGAAGGGAAGGGAACTCCTGGATCAAGCATTAGGAAAAACTAACCCTCGCGTGGAGGATATTTCAATGGAACTAACCCGCATTTGCGTTATGTGCTGAGGTTAACTGCTCAAGAAAAGGAGACGGTTAAGTGCTGAGGTTAACTGCCTGACACCCAAGACAAGGAGACTGTAACTCATGATCTGTTAACCACTGAGATATCGTTACGTCAGCACTGTGGTCGGTGCGAGAGGAGAGCAGAATTCGAATTGATCAGTCATCGCTAAGATTCGAAACTGGGTGTCTGGGGGTCGAAAAAGTGTTATATATATGGTATTTTATAACCGTCCTTGAACAGCCGACCCAATGTTTGGGTTTACGACTGCTAATGTTCAACTACGTAGCCTTGTAATTTTGAACCCAATCCAGAAGACAAAGGTAATAAATGTATTAGGTTAAATGGATGACTGGTCAAGAGACCCTATCAAAGCACCATAGTGCTTAGATTAGGGAAAAGCACAAATATTTTAGCTCTTCCCTTTTTAAATTGGTTTGTAAAATTATTCTACTCTTAAGATGTGAAATTTGGCTCTTTTTGTCGAATATATATTAAATTCAAAGTATTAAAAAATTGTAAGATTATAAGCGTTTTTTTTTCTATATTGCCAGACATTTATTCTGCAATCAACTGGAAAATTAAGAATCGTAGTACATTAGAGATCGTTTCCTGTAAATTAAATGAATTTTTTTAAAATCTAAATTGATACCAGAGTTCTGTAAATGTGTTCATTGGAGTCAATAATATTTTCGTCCTGATCGTTTAAAGACAAGTTTCGCAGCAGATCCCCGAAAGCATGCATTTACTGGCTACGATCACTGTGCGAGTGGGTGACCACTTTGATCAGCCAGCGATAGTCCGAAGGGTGTGCGATATTGGTCTTCGTTAAACTGTTCTACCGTAAAGTGCTCCACTTCGAGTGCAGGTCATCAATCTAAAGAAGCAGGGGTTGCCATCCCCTCCTGAGAGGATCAAAATGTGTGATGGCATATCTTGGGATCATCCTCAAAGATGCTTCCCAGACCGTCGTCCATAGTCCATTGCGTAGCTCTAGCGTGACGTAAATCAACAGGAATAACACTTTCATTGACCACTTTCGAGGAAGATATATACACATTAATTCGAAAACCGTATTGACGGTTTCTTGTAGAAAATTTATGAAGGTGAGCTTCATAAATTTTATATTTCTCTTTTTAAATTGGATCGTTTAAATCATTCTACGCCTAAGTTGCAAAAATTTTGCTCTTTGAGGTGAATATAATAAATTTGAAGCAACAAACATTGTAATATCATTAATGTTTTTGTAGTCAATCATACATTAATTTTATAATCAACCGGAATATTAAATATCGTAGTACATAAGATAAGACATGTTCCCATGTAAATGGAATGAAATTTTCTTCTTCTTTTACCTGATACCAGAGTTCTGAAAAGTTGTTCATGGGAGTCATTAGTAGTTTAATTGACCACTTGCGAGGGGAATCTATGCACATCATTTCGAAAACCGTATTGACGGTTTCTTGTGAAACTTTTGATTTTTGCTTGTCTCTGTAAATATCACATAATGTCTTCAATGTTTCATAATTATCGGGTTTGGTAAAAAATGATTTCTGAAATAAAAAGAAAAATTAAATTAAACTTTTATTTTGAAAGACAATATAAGTAAATTAAAAAAATGCGAAAATACAATGGTTACAATTTAAAATACAGAAAGAAAGACAGAAAAATTAGTTACATTTTCCTTAATGCTATGTCACTATGAAATATTAAAAGAAGAAAAGAACATCTTCAGTTTTTTTTCAAAGCAGTGGTCGGAGTATACTTTAACCCTTTCGCACAGGACGGGACATGTGCTGTCCCATTCTGGTAAATTTTTGATATTACTGCAGGGACAACATATGTCCCAGTTACTGAAAAATATCTAGGACAGAAAATAACGCCCACTTTGGTCTCCAAACCGATTTTAAGGCCGTCCCATCGTTCTGAGTCCTTGAATTTCTCACGTCAATCATTCCATATCTAATCAAGCAAGCGACGACTTGCTCCGGACAGTGAATAAATATTTTCGAGTGGTAGTTTATTAACTGTGATTATTGTTTTAATAAATTCAATTTATTAGGTTTTCAACCAACACTATTTCTAAACAATTCGAAGGCTCCTTCCTCTGAAAAAGGGTCCATCATCGATTTATAACAACAGTTGAGTCGGTTAATGCCGCTTCGCGGCAGCGCACCGAGATTTATGTGATTTCTACCATTCTACCATTTCTGAAAAAGGGTCGAAATGAGTCAAAAGAGAATTTAAACTGAAAACAAGTTGGGACAGCTCGCTTATATCAGTGAGCCTTTTGAAAACACTGTAGAGGAGACCGGCAATGAAGTCGTGTCACCCAATCATAATGATTTGTTTGATGATGAAGTTGAGCTCTAGAACTAGAATCCACCGTCATTTTCATGGTCCTATCCAACTAACTTTGCACCACGAATGCCATTAGTTAGTTACATCAAGAGCCAAACAAATTTCTCTATTGGCAACGAAGCCACCAAAGTGTATTCTTACTTCAAGATCTTTCACAAAAGCTTATTCATTTACACTGCCCAATGTACGAGCAAAAGTATAAAAATGGAAAGAAAGAACATTTGGAAATGCGAACAAG